CTCCAACATGCTCTCCAGGGGAAAGGGAAGGTGCAAATGTTCTCACCATCCTGAAGGGTAAATAGCCCGAGAGCACAACAAAGTTGGGAGTTAAAGGACATTTTCTGAATGAACTTCGAATCTTGAGAGTTACCTCAGATCTTCACCTTTTACCTGACAGGAAGTTCTAACAGGAGTTAGAACGCTCTCAATTTCTTGAACCTTTAAGCTATTTTAATGAGGTCTTCTATACCCATTATGAGTTCTGGCCACTAGGTGCTCCAGGAAAAGAATCTTGTCAACCTTGTGGAGAAATTTGAGTTGTCCGGGCTGACTGGTTCTATGATGATGGATCATCCGGTTATGAAGTCCCTGGTACATCTGCATGTTCTGTGGTTGGAATTTTATTCCATTTCATGGTGTGTGTGTGTGTACTGTGGGGCATGTGGCTGGAGGTCAAAGAACAACTTAGAGCAGTCAGTTTTCTCCTTCCACCACTGGGGTCCCAAGCTAGCGCTCAGGTCCGTTGGGATGCTCACTGAGCCATCTCACTGGGCTTTGTGGTTACAGCTGTGCATGAATTAAGGTATAGGTGGCGTGAGCTTGTGAGACTGAGGAAAGCAGCAAGGGGCAGACACCAAAACAAAACCCGGAACCACTTGTCACTGAGCATCATGCTGAGTGAGTTGTGTGTAGCCCCACAGAGGCCAGAAATAACAAGAACTGTCAAGCTGTGCAGGTGGCCGGTTCCAAAACCTTGCTGCTGTTGGTCTGAGTTGGATTTAAACAATCATTAGGACATGAGAGATGAAGCACAACTGTCATTATGGAATTAGACTGAAATTTTCTATTCCTGATAGATTTGTTTCCGTGGGTTTTTGGATATGCTGATGTTGCCAGATGCAGTAGGAGGACAGAGCTGTTTGGGCCAGCTCGGTTGCCCTTTGATGGAGAAGGTGTTAAGAGGTAACCAAGAACTCTTTATCTGCTATGGAAGCTTTTGGGTTAAGGGTAAAAAGAACAACTCTTACCTTGACTCAGTGTAACCTTCATAGCCTATCAAATGCCAGAATTGTTCGGCTTACTGTTACATGTAGCTAAGCAGAAGAGAAAAAACCAACAACTCTGTACACAGTGAACTTGCTGCTCATTTAGTGGAAACAGTTTACTTCATTAAGAGTAGGGACGCATTAGCAAACAGTCATGAACCGTGTCTGTGGGAGGGTGGAGCCCTACTGCTTTTCAGAATAAGATCTGTCTTCGATGAGTAAGGACATGGCACACCCCTTTCCTTTGCTCCATGCTTGCTGTGCTCAGGAGCACGGGGTAAGTACAAGTAAGCGTGTGCTAGGCACATGGCACAGAGTAAGTACTGGAAAGAGGGGAAGTACAGATGGCTAGGAGAGCTGCCCCCGCGGCTCTGCAGAGAAAACGTGCCTTTTATGGAGTGTTAATCCTTCCCGAGCACACATGAAGTTGTGCTTTGTGGGAAAGGTATGAGCTCAAGGTAATAGCCTCTGCTCCATGCATGTGGGAGCTACAGGTTTCCACGGTGGGCTGAAAGGGACCACCAGCAATGAGGCAGATGTGGATTTTTTTTGCATCTCAGTGTCCTGTGGACACCCACCAGATTTACCAGTCAAGAATAGTGATTGGGGGAAAGGGGGTTGGGCATTTAGGCTCATGGTCTTCTCAAATGAATATACGTTCCTTTCACTAGTCTGAGTATGGCGGTTGCTTGCTAGCAGCTGGTGTAAATGGACTAGGTGTCACTATAAGCATTCATGCTCAAGGACTTTAGAAGAAGCCTCAGTGCCCTGTTGATCTCCATGGCAGAAAGGTGGCTATCTGCAAAGTAACAGGCCTTGTGCAGGTCATTAAATAGAGTCACAACTGTGTATTTCTTAAGACATCCAGAAAATGTTTGCCCTGAAGTCTGTTTCGATCATAAACCAAAAACAACTCAGAAGAAAGTTTCTTATACTTGGTACCATTGATGGTGGAATGTTTGGATATTTGGTCAAGTATAATGAGAAATGGCCTCTCTCTCTCTCTCCGTCCAAGCTCAGCATACACTAACTCAGGATGTATTTCTCTTTCACAATGGACTATGCTGGTTCCAAGTAGAGCACCTAGACAATACTTGGATAAGCAAGTATCTGAAACTAATAGCCTTTTAAAATTTGAGTGAAAAATCATAAGGTTGTCACCAGCAGAAACAGGTTCTAGTGATTCAATTCTGTTTTTCTTTCCACAATTTAAATTAGGGCAAGCCACTACATTTATTATTGCCAGTGATTGTCCTCAGCATATTTTTACAGGAGGACCTGAGGACCCAATAGTTGTCAATATTTGAGAAACAGCCGTGTGAAGCAAAATGCCACACCAGTAGCTGTCAATCTTAGGAGAGACACCCCAAGGCAATTGGCCAGTGATGTCTGCAACCAGATTCCCTGTGGTCACTGAATGGAAGCGAGCCTTCTTGGAACTCCCTGATCCAATGAAGATGACCCCACTCGCTTCTCACCTAGGCTCTTAGAACAAAGGAAGAGTAATGAAACTACACACTCTTCTTGGGCAAAATCCTGCTGCCTGACTTGATTTTTAAACATTGCTCAAACTATGACCTGAAACGATGCTTCTTAAAATGAATGATGGTATGAAATTGATATTAAATGATTATAAGAAGTTCAGAATAAAGTGAATTGTACTTAGTAGTTTCAACATGACCTTGTGTTTAACATAGCAACACTATATTCTGCCATCAGAGTTGGTACCCACAGCCCTGCCAATAGTTACAGCCCTGAATGTCTGCCACTGCATACTGTGAAGGGACATTTGGGTTGCTTACTAGCTCCAGTGAGACTGACTTTACTTACATTTAGAAATACTTTCTAGTAACACGAGCTGCTTGTCAACAAACTCAACCGACTGCTCTAAGGGACCTCTTTGCAGGAATAAGAGTGGCAGAGGTCTACTGTGTCTTCAGTGGCCCACAGAAGTACTGTACCTTTCTTACGGAGGGGACCACCCAAAAAGATTCTGACCAAATGCAACTCGAATCAGGGCCATGAGCCACTCCCTACAGAGATAAAAATATTTTTAAGGTGCAAACAAGCAAAGTTATAGACAAGTAGTGAATTTGGAAGGTCACTTCCACCATTCGTTACAGATAGGAATTTGGATAGTTGGATTAGCTAGATAGGCATCTGGAAGTTGCCCTCTGACTTTAAGAGGTAGCCTAGCTCAGCATAGATAGGTCAGTACTGGCAATCACTCACTCACTCAACTGGTACAAGTGTTTGTAGATGTGGGTGGATGTTAAGGGATCTGGTGCAAACGCTTTGATTCTTGGCAGGCCTTTTATAGACACTGTGGAGAAAGCCATGTGAGCCCCTCTGAGAAGAACCTCCGATACTGATGCAATCACCTGGGAGGAACATGTTCATGTTTAGTGTTCATTTCATGGTTTAAAAAAAGGAAAAAAATAAATAAATAAAGCCATGGACGGGGGTAAAGCGGAGCTTCACAACAAATACAAAGGCAGGGATGGGCCAGAAAGTATTTTAAGATATCTTTAAATATAAATTGAGCCCCAGAGGCAGAAAAGTCATTTACCCAACACTGGCACAATTCAAACATAGATCAAAACTCTAGTAACAAAAAGGGGCATTTTCAAATTGCATCTAAGATAAGAACATATTAAACAGAAGTTCCCATTGAAGTGAGCTTAGGAAGGGCATAATTTGATACCAAAAGTAAGTTTGAATAACAAATACAGAAAGCAGGATTGGCTAGTTGGAATTCCCCACCCCCAAAAAACGAGCAGAACGCCCTCCCCAAACAGCTTATGGAAGGGATGCAGGTAACAGAGTCAAATGAAAAATGGTTCCTGAATTTAAAGGTAGGATGCCCACTTCTTTCTCTCAAGAGGCAGATGGTCAGCTGAAAAATAAAAACACCGTATCAATAGGATGTTCCAGAGGAAAAATTGCAGCCACCTCTGTGCATGCAATAGCAAATATTATTTTTTTAACCCCAAACCAAAACAATCCACAAAACGAACAGAAGGCAGCATGGACTGCCCCGCTTTTAGGACCTGCTAATGGCTGAGGAGCCTAATGGGGCTGGTGAGAGTTGCCCATAGGACAGAGACCAGGGGTACCATGTGCTGTGGTTGCCCCTCAAGTGGGGTACATGCTCTCTTCGGCCCATGAGGTCTTAAATTAAGAGGTTCAAGAAAATGGTAGCTAAGCAAGAGGATTCCAGCCCAAGCCCCGGGGTTTGGGCCTAAGTTTTCTATTTCTGTCTTCTAATGAATATTATCGTTACTGTTTTTGGTAGTTGAAGTCACTTCGGTAGCCACAGAGGGCGGTGGTTTGTAAACAGACATTGACAGATACAAACAGCAGTGCAATATTTGACCCAGACTTTAAAGAACGGGAGGCGATGGTGGAAATGAGGTAACTCTTCCCCAACTCGTGTGAACAGACAGCTCCTGCTCTTCTAATGCTGTCCATTAAGAGAGAGTAGGGCTTGGCAACAGGATGGCTACATAAAGAAGAAGCTACAGAAGAAAAAAAAGAAAGGTTCAGATTCAAATTGATCCTTCAAGCCAAGAAAAAGAGCATTTCTCTACAACCAGCTGTGAAAGTAGCAGTGTGTCAGCTAAAGGACCAGGTCACCAAACATGGTTGGGGGTGGAGTGGGGTGTGGTAGCCATGGGGGCACCTGGGCCAAGGGAGGGCAGGACACCACCTCTGCTGGACACTGGGCATCATGGGTGCACTGGGCAGGCAGGGAAGGGAGGACGAGTATGCCGAGGTGTGAGCTGCGCTACACCCTCGTGTCTTTGGAGAACTGGGCCAACCAGACAGCAGCACTGAAGTCCCCCACACAAGGCAAGGAAGCAGGAGACAGCGGCCATCCCCATCTCTTTATGTGACGAAACAAGCACGTGTGTGCACACACAGGCATGTCAGGCAGGGACTGGAAAGAACTCACAAACGGGCACACAGAACAATGGTTGGGTAAAAATATATTTCCCCGCTTTAGGTCTTGGCACTAGTGATATATGCATAGGTCACCTGTCACCACACTATGTTAACAGACACCAAGTCGCTCAGCACGCTGCTGAGCCAACAGTTTCACACTTGTAGGAACGATATGCTGCTTCACATGGATACAATTGTTTTAGTTCTTAAAAAAAGACAAGTGTCTAACATGCAGCTTACATACATGACAGTCTGCATCAACACTGAGATTACACAACAGTTTAGAAAACATTGGTTATCCTCAAACAGCAAAAAGAGTATGACAGTTCTACAACTACAGTTTAAGGCATTATCATATTTTAAGATCAAGAAATAGATCAAAGTTCTAATGCTGTTCACAGCTTAATCTTCAATTTATTTTTTTTTTAAATTCCCTTCATACCTACATACAAACTAGACTCTGTAGGTCATAATTCAGCTAACAACTCCATGATAAATGTCCTGTGGCTAGAACTAGGACTTTTGGAAACTGACACCTGACAACTCCTGACACTTGTGGATGGCAAAGCCAAGGGATTCAAATGGATGGTTCTGGCAGGACCACACAGAGACAGTACGACGTGGGTGGGGGAAGCCTGAACACCGACTCCGCAGAACACTTAGCAGTATCTCAGGAAAGTGAGACAGCCACGCCTGTCCATTAGAGGCGCACAGGATGGAGAGGAAGCAAGAGATGCTGCTGGTGAGTTGCAAAGTAAAGGAGCAGGAAAACAAGAAACCCATGCCCGACGTCAGGTGGAAGAGCTCCCCTGGCCACGAGATGCCCTTTTGGACCAGTTAATATAGAGCCCAAGCTGGGAAGGCAGTCCTCAATTACCACTGGGTTCTCATGCCGGCCATTCTGTCACACCCCAACAGCAGTTACAGGGGAGCACAGTCCAGAAGAAGAAAAGATGCTCATTGTGCTTGGGGAGAAGAGCTACAGAGAGAGGCCAGCCAAAGCTGGGCAACAGAAAAAGATGTGGCCATTGGGCATTTAGCCGAAAGGAGTGGCCGTTACTAAGATCTTTCCAAAAGTATCAGAAAGGCAGCCTGGCAGAGACATCATTTTCTGGGTGTTTGTCCAGTGGACGGTGGAAATTTCTTTCCCCAGCTTTATCTCGTCACAACTGAAGGCCTTCTACATGCCCTCCATGGTGCTACACAGAGCAATGGCTGCAATTGGTAATCAGTCCCCTGCTTCCTCTGACATCGAGATGAAGCATAAATTGTGGGGCAAAATATAAATGTGACTGGTGTCAATGTATTTAGCTTAAAAAAAAAAAAAGGAGAGAGAAGAAGAAGAAAGAAAGAAAAGAAAAAGACTACCCAGACTGCTAAACCTCATCTGAAACAAAGATTTCAGAGTTCTTGCACCTGTACTTACATGCAGAGGCGAAAGCACGTCCGATTAGATTTGAGAGTACCGTTTATTCCGTGCAGAGCCAGGGACTACTGTGAAGAAAGGCATAGATACGGAAAGAAAAGAGCAGCAGTAACAAGCTCCAGGAGGCTTGGGAGTGGAGGTGGGAGAGAATCATTTCAGAAGCAATGCTTTTTGTTCGTTTAAGCTTTTTTAAGGATTCTCTTAGCTTTTTATTCCCTGACTCTCCGTAGAATTTATTTTACTGTGAAAAAAAATAATTCAATCAATAATCTTGGCATCAAAAAGTCAATTGGGTTTTTTTTTTTTTTCCTTCTTAGCTTATCTTAAAAAGCTTTTAGGGATTTGAGAATCAAATGCAAAGGGGTATTTTCTATTATGAGGCACAAAGAAAGAAAGAAAGAAAGACAATGCTCACACAAGCAGTGAAGAAGCGGGCGCAGCCACAGTTAGTCAGCGTGCCATTAGTACCTGCTGCTCCACAGCTAGCTGGGAAAATGGAAGCAAAGCCAGGGTCCATGTAGGAGCTCCTCCCTCCCCTGCCGAAGATGGCTGCTGCGGCTGCTCTGTGGCTTCTGGGCCACCCTGGCTTGCACCCCGGTGAAGCCAATGGCCTTGCTTTGCCTAATGAAGCCTAAGTCAGTTTATGAAAGGGCACTGCTTTTTTCTTGTGATTGGGAGATGAAGAAAAGGAAAGCCTAAAAACTTGGCCAGGATCAGACCAGGCTTGCTGGACAATTTTGTTTTAAAGTGGGAAATGCAGCGTGCTTTACCCCATTCACGTGTAACTGGTGACATTAGAGAGGAGATGTAAAGGCAAAGGACTGGGTCCATGAGAAACTTGAGAGAGGGGAAAGCTGGGGGGGTCTGGTTAGAAGGGGACAGCCATGCAGATGACAGGATGAGCAGCAGAAGGAAAAGGGGACAGGATAGACACGTGCCCTTCTCCCTTCTTGCACAGCAGGCAGGCAGGGCATGTCCTGATCCGGAGTCAGGTGGCCTAACTGATGGCCCAAGAGACAGAGCAGGCGGCCCTAATCACTGCACTGTGTTCGCCCCCTCCCCCCCTTAACCTGAGGACAGCCTTTCAGGTTTGTGCTACGGCAATGCAATGTAGAGCAGGTTTCCTATTTGAAGTATTTGGAGCAGTTTTCTCACTGCGCTTCATGAACATTTCTATGCGAAGGAGCCATACTCGGGAATCAGCCTCCAGGTCTCCCCTCAGCTGGCTTAAAGCAAATGCAGGTGTACAGGGAGGGGGTTGGGGAGGTGTGGGGACGATCCCCTCGCTCTAAGTGGGGATCCAACATCCTTAACAGCTAGGCCAAACTCTTTCAGGCGGTCTTTGAGATCTGGACCTGGGAAAGTGTCGTCAGGCGGAAACACCCTGGTGGAGGTGAGCATTCCCCAGCAGCTTTGGCCGGGCTTTGAAGTGGGCATTCAGACCCTAAGACAGCTCACAGGCTCAGACCAAATACCGGAGTGATTAAATGGAAAAAAAAAAAATCATACAGGTGAAAAGCCACCTATAGTGCCCGCTCACCAATCTGCCTCCTTTCCTGGCCACCTTTGGTTTGGGGCAAGTGAGAAGAGACAGTGAAGTGGGGGGAGGGGGCTGGCGAGCCTGAGACGAACAATCATGAGAATGCAAGTTGTTGTCATGGCTACTCAGGGTTTTAGTTCAGCTGCTGAGGTGGTGAGTTTTCACATCAGACGTACAGGTAGCATTTTACCCTGCTTTCCTTGGTCCAAAGCGACATACAAGTGACAGACATGCTTCCTGCTGCCACTTGGGACAGGCATACAAGGCAGATCATTGACTTTCCAGAAACAAAGTCCAGCCACATGCGCGTGTCTGCCGAGATCCCCTTGTTCTATGGGTCTCCACCACCTGACAACATTCAGCAAAGTGAGCTAGGAGTTACTGGTATCTGGGGAAGGGAGAGACAACGAAACCAAACAGGACGCGGATGACAGAGGTACGCTACTACTGCAAAAGCAGGTGAATGCGGGAGCGTCCTTGGCTTGCCAGGCCTTATGCGAAGCTTGCACTGCAAGTTAAAAAAACAAAACAAAAAAAGTTAGAAATGATAACGAAGTAAATGAAAGGGAAATCAGGAGCGCCAGCACCAGCATTCAGTGACGGCGAACGCTCATGCGATGATATGGGGACTGACAGAAATCAAAAGGGAAAAAAATCCAAGTAGGCTAGTCTACAGGAAAAGCAAAAGCAAACCCTGAATACTGCGCAGAGAACACAAGCTCAGTTCCCTTTTGCATGGAATTTACACTGGAAAGTGACTTCTTGAAACCAAGGTGGAAGGAGCCACTGTCTTGTTTGTTTTCTCACATAACGCAGAAATCATTATGGTCTGTGAGAAGTGGAGCTCACACTGGGAGCGAACAGAAACCTCGTCTTCTGCTTCCGGACTGTGGGAGGAGTCAGAGAATAAACGGACAGTAGGCGCCTTGTACAGATGACTTGGAGAAGAGACCTAAAGTAGCTTTGCAAACTGGAATCTAGTGGACAGAGGGCTACAGGGCTAGCTGGGCGGGGCTGAAAAAAGAACATGGTTAGAGCTACAGCAGTGCCATGAGCTTTTCCCCTCAGGACCACAGCCAGGCCAAACCCGGGCTCTGCACAGCTAATTTTAGGTAACACCAAAACATGCAACTTTATTACTTAGTGAAAACAAACCAATTTAAAAAAAAAAAAAAAAAAACAAGGTGAGTAGATAGATGGCTGTGTAAGGTACAGTCATTACATTCCAGTTAACATATGGCACTGACAGTTTGGGGGTTTTTTTGGGGGGAGGGTAGGAGGTGGTCAGATGCAACCCAGCGGATGCCTCCTGGCAACTGTGTAAATCGTTCTCAGGAGAGGGAGCAGGACACCTTCCACTAGAAAAACTTACCCTCAGGCAGTCCTACCACAGTAGTGGAGGAGCCCCACACGAGGAAAAGTGACTTGGTGGCCAGAGACAGACCCCACTAATGGCAGTGCCGGGGTTAGTTCTACTTTGTAACCTTAGGAGATGTTATATACTCTCATGCCACTTACAGCCAAGGAGAGGTACAAAGCCTTACCTATGTTAAAAACAGGAGTGTGTTGTTAGGATAGGAAAAAGGAGTTTAGGATTATTAGCAAGTGAATCAAGACTGGCAGAGGGGCACACGGCAGACGGAAGGGCGCCCCCTGCGGTCTTCTGCTCAGCACAGCCATTGCACCTGCTGCAGCTATGACCAGGAGGAAGTATCTTCCTCTTTCTGTTCAAAGAGATGCTCTGCTTGCCCTGGTTACTGTCTTTCTGTGGTCCTCTCTAGCCAAAACCTTCCACTGATAATAAAGGGAGTAGCTTTTTTATTTTTCTTTCTTTACTTTTTCCTTTTTTTTTTTTTCTTCTAACAATTCAGGCCTCCAACTAGCCTTTGCTTTCATTACACAAGCAAACGGTAAGAAACAAGAAGTGACACCAAAAAATACATGCCACTGCCAGTCACTCATCCTGGTAATTATCGCGAACCAGGTGTAACACCGTCAATAAGGAATGAGAAAGTATAAGCTGAAATAGACTTTAACACAGCCATCATGTAAACTTCAAAAGCACTGTACACTGGTAAAGACTAGATGGGAAAGGAATGGGGTCGCGGGTTCCAGGGTACGATGTCCTCTACCAACCAGAGGGTTCTCATGGGTACAATGATGATCAGTTCTTGGAACTTTTATTGCTAAAAGGTACATCCAGTATACATGAAGTATTCTTTTAACCTTGCTGGTCTTCTATAAACACTTTTAGTTCAAAACTTGTACTTGTACCCACTTTCGTGCTTCAGGGTAAGAAAGCCTACCCTTTGGGCTTCCTAAGCTATGAGTCAGCAGCCTGCCTCTCTCTCTCTCTCTCTCTCATCTCTCATGTACATATGAACAAAAGACACATTCTCTCTCTCTTATACACACACACACACACACACACACACACACACATGCACGCACATACACATACTTCTGTAGTTTTTCCCACATAAAGGATTTGCATCAGGGTTCAGTGCTGAACGGCTTTGACTGTGGCTTGCCATGTGGGGCACCACAATCAGTGTTAGAAGTTTCTGGCACACAGAGCAACACAGCACTGCATTGAACTAGAGCATGGAGGGAGTTGTTTCTTTCTGAATTAACCCACTCTAGCCAAAGCCCAGGCTGCTGGGCTACTTTGATGACTTGAAACTATACCAAACCTCGTTAAAGCCACACATTAGCTACATGGACTAGTTCTGTTAATTGCCTAGACCAGTTTCCTGCTCCTCAGTTCTCTAGACATGTCTCCTCCTGCCTCAGAGCTTGCAAAAGCAATGTGTATAGAGCATGACTCACTAGTGTTTCAATATCACTCTATAGTGCAAATGCCATCGCTCCTTAGGGGGCAAGTCCTGCACACGAGCTAGGACTAAGCGGCAGCAACACTGGGCTGGCTTGCCCACTCTCAGGCAGTCTCAGAGGGACTCAATCCTAGGAGCTACATTTTTCAAAGAAGGAAATTCCTTGCTTGCATCAGTCCCGCCATCTTTCTCGTTACCTAGCTGCCTGCTTTTCACCCAGCACCTTGGCGTCGAAGGACGAAGAACAAGAACCCAAAAGCGGGCTTGCAATGGGCCATGAGAAAATTTTCCAAGTGCTTCCTTGGCACCATACTCATCAAACCTGCAGCTACCTGGCCCCTCTGCTTTAAAGTGACTCAGTGGATATAGAGCTACAAGTCACAGAGGTTCCAAGAAGCACACCTCTCTGCTAGCTTCCGACTGCTGCTACTGGGGCGGCACAGGAAGTGCTGGCTTGAGAGCAGCATCTGGCCCTTTGGCACTTGAAATCAAGGCTGTATGGAAACTGTGTGGGGTGCAGGGGTGGCATGAGGGTAGCTAGAGCTGTGTTCAATGGGTGGGCATTTTGGTTGAATTTCACAATTTGATCATCCTCCAGAACAGTCTAGAATTTAAAGTTCAGTAGCCGGCTTGCCATACTGTCTAACAGAGAGGAGAACCCATGTGAATAACTGTGATTTTTAGAATGCTCTTTAACCAAGAGTCAAGAGAGAGCCTCCAGAGGCACCAAGAGAAAACCGCCTGTCTTCGGGTCTCCTAGCGCTGCTACAGAAGCTGCTACAGAAGCTCACAGGCTCCTCCAGTCCTGATTGTTTGGTCACCACAGTGACGTTTATAAATTAATCCTTTGTACCCTTTAAAAAAAAACCTCTAAAACCTCTGTCATCTTCCCTTGCCCTGCAGAGAAAAATACTTGCTTTTCTTTTTCTGGCGACAGACCAGGTCCCAGTCTGTACATAGGAAAGAGAGACATGCAAGAGGAAGAGATTGTCAGCGGGCCCCAGGATGCGGGCGACACCTGCTTACTTTTTCTTATCCTTGTCCTTCTTGGTTTGCTGGGACCCAGACTGCTGGGCCTGGGATTGCAAGAGCTGGGCTGCGGCCTTCTTCTTCTGGAAGTTGCTCACCTCCTCCTCAAGCTCCTTCTTCTTGTCTTCCACCTTTTTCTTCTCCTCTTGGTGTGTCCGCTTCAGGAGGTCAAACTTCTCGTGAAGCTGGGAGGGATAAAGGAATAAAATACTGAGTGACACAGGCTGTGTGAGCCTGGGCAAAATCGGAATGTGTGGCCTGTGGGCTGCTCTTGCTTCGTGGGGGTTTGAATAGCAATGGTCCCCTAGGCTCATACACTCTAATGCTTCGTCATCCCAGAGTGGCACTATTGGAAAAGGATTAGGAGGTGTGTCCTTGTTGAAGGAAGCGTGTCCCTGGGAGGGCTTTCCAGGCCCTGTGGCTCTCTTCCAGCCCGCAGATCCGGATGCAGAACTCTCAGCTACCTCTCCAGTACCATGTCTGCCCGCATGCTGCCATGCTCCCCACCACGAGGACAATGGACTAAACCACCGAAACTGTAAGCCAGCCCCCAATAAAATCTTTCTCATAGAAGAGTTGCCACCGCACAGTGACTAAAGTGACTAAGTCACTGCCTGAAGTATCTGGGTGGCTTCTGGAGGAGCAGGCGAGGATGCTGAGTCCTGAGCATTTCTGTCACTTGAGCTCCTCAGGGCTGAACACCCTGTGAGCACTCTTTGTGATAAGGGACTTATTTAATTATTTGTTATTATTATAGGTATATTGAGACAAGGTTTCTCTATGCAGCCCTGTCTATCGTGAAACTATGTAGACCGGGCTGGCCTCAAACTCAGAGATCTGTGTGCCTCTGCCTCCTGAGTGCCAGGACAAACAGCATACACTATTATACTCAGAAAAAAGGGTACATTCATTTTGAAAGCATAAAGATGACCAGCAAAGTGGCTTAGTGGATAAAGGTACTTGCTGCTAAGCCTGACCTGAGTTTGATCTCTGGAACCTACATAGTAGGAGAAAGCTGATTTCTGCAAGTTGTCTTCTGACCTACACACACGCACACAATTTTAAATATTGTTATTTTGTTAAGCATGAAGAAGGTAACAATTAACCATAATCTTAATAACAGCATCATAACAGGCAAAGGTGGGTTCTTGTTTCTTGGCCTTAAGTCACAACAGTGCTCACACACATATGTCATTCCCTCTCTTTCCATGCATACACACATACATGTTTTAGCTATGTACACTAACAGTTTAAAGAATACGATGAATAACGTTTAGCTTTTGACAAATAGATAGATAGATAGATAGATAGATAGATAGATAGATAGATAGATAGGTAGGTAGATAGATAAATCCAGAGTCATGGGCTGGGCCACAGCTCAGTGGCAAAAGGTCTACGATGCAAGTATGGAGCTCTGGCGTCATCTTCAGAACCAAACAACAAACACAGCCAGAAACAAAAGCAGGAGTGGGGATGGGAGCGGGGGTGGGGTGTTACCAAATTCTGAATCTTAGGTCATCATCCCCTTGGTTAAGGTCAGCTAATAACGTTCAATTTTTCTTTCTCTGCAGCAAAACCATTTTAAGCGCTTAGGTGCGTAAATGGCCTAAATTTCACTAGCTTCTTAGAAACGATTTATTTATTTCTAATGTGTATATGTGTTTTGCCTCCATGAGTGTCTGGGCAACACCGTGTCTGGGACCCATGGGGAGCAGACGAGGGCACTGAATCTCCTGAAACTAGAGTTACAGACAGTTATTTGTGGGTGCTGGGAACTGAAGACCAATCCTCAGAAAGAGCAGCCAGTGCTCTTAACCACCGAGCCCTCTCTGCAGCCCTAAGTTTCACTAGTCTTTAAAAAAATAAATAAATAAAATAAAATAAAATAAAATAAAATAAAATAAAATAAAATAAAATATAAACATCATTTCAAAGAGTAAAACCTGTATTAGCAGTCACATTGCCACATCCCCAGTCCACTCTGCCTGGATTGGGGAACCAGGCAGAGTCAGAGCTTGCTATAGCAGGAAATATGCTGGGATGGGAGCAGTGGGCACAAGCATGGGGTGTCGTTGAGACCAAAATGCAAAGCACTCCCGCTATTTAGCTTGCTTAGTTGGCTGAACCCCGAATCTCACATTTGAGGATTTATAAACTGAGGAAACCCAAAGCTGAAAAGACATCATGATCAGAGCTAGAGACCCAAGATCTGGCTTTAGCCTCGTTGACTGCAAAAACCACTCAACTTTATGATCCTCAGTTTGCCATCTGCTAAACAGGGACAAGAATATCTAGCCAGTATTCCTGGCCTGTTGGGGAGGCTGTTCCTGTGATCAGGGGAAGGGGATCCGCTTTGTACCAGTGTGAAGTCTCATTAAGTGCAACATACTGATAAAATGCCAGTTCCGGCTCCTAAGGGACAGCCTGCTCACCTCCTTCTCCGCCTCCTTAAGCTCCGCCTCTTTCTCCTTCACTCTCATGACAAACATCTGCCTCATCTCCTCCTCTTTCTTCTGCAGCTCTCCCAGGAATTCATTCCTTTTGGCTTCATACGTCTCCTGAAGACTATTAGGCATCCGTAGAGCGAGAGAGAACATAAGACAGACAGCATCATGTAGCATTATTTCAGTTCATGCCATTTCCCCTTCTCTCGCTCCCAAAGAACACTAAACACACCAAAAGTTCAAATAAAAAGAGGTTTATTCTTATTTACGTTGACATCGCAGAGACAAATATGTCCAAAAGCGTAATGCAGTGGCAAAGGCCTGAAGCTACCAGCCAGGTTTCTTGCACACACTGGTGGGCCTAGTTCCATAGGTGAAATGACAGAATTGCAGCTGCACAGTGTAAGGCCAGAATTCTGGCCTCACCAACTTACTGACCTTGGTAGGTAGGCGCAACTTTGGTCTCCTGCACAGGGGTTTCAGACACTCACCTCCATGGATGGAACTCCAAGTGAGTTAGGAGGAACTTGGGAAAACCATTTGATATACCAGCAGTGCTTAATAACGGCTCCCCCTTCCTCCACTTGACCCCCTTTAGCCTCCAATGGGAAAGACAAACTTAGTGAGAAGCACTCTTCTAAAGGTAGGGCGGGAAGCCGCCACATCTCAAACCACATTATGATTTCAAGTGGTGTGGGGGAGTCTTAATTCCGTTTTGAATCCTGGACTCTTCCCTTTTGCAGAACTCAGAGCCTGAGTTTCATACTGAGTGTCATGACTCAACTACACCTCTAAGTCAGAACAAAGACCTTTACAGAGCAAGTGCCTTTGGCAGCACAAAGGAGCCCCTCTCACACACACAGACACACACCTCATGGACTACAAAGAAAAAGTAGCTAGTGTTTTCTCCGCTCTCCCTTTGCAGTTGGTCTACAACAGCTGAATGGTTGGGAACAGAGCCTTCAGGTAGAGGCCACCTTTAATTCAGACCAAATTTCCAGGGCATACTACAGACCAGATAGCAACTCTGGATGCTCCCAGGCACTCTGTAGTGCCATTCACACCTGTCCAGTCAGGTGGGGGAACACAGCAACGAACAGACAGACACACTCCGAATGAACACTGCAGCGAGGACAGGAAGGGCACACTTCTAGCAGCTCAGGGAAAATAAGATCTGCCCTAATGCTGCCAACCATCTCTGCTGATAAACAATCAAGCATTTTGAGTTTCAGAAGTTCTATTTTATGGGACAAAAACAAGTTAGAGATATTAGTATTGGCTAATCCCAATAGCAATGTTCAGATTTCAGTTTTAAGAGCTATACTCACTGAGACCTAGGACTATATCAACAGTTGACCTTTAACACGACTTCACCAGCTTGGAGTAAATAAACTCTTTGTTACCTTTATCTGCGTATCAGACTGGCACAAGGCAGAGGGTAACCTGGCCTTATTACAAAATCTTATAGAAAACTCAGCTTCCACTCGGAATAATGAATGGACCACTCCTGTCAAGCAATGACCCTTGTACGGAAACAACACTCAGCTTGTGTTCTGAGATCATGATCTGGTTTTAGAAGATCTTCAAAGGTTGTGGAGCCAAAACAGCTGCACGTCCCTGCAGGGGGGGATTTGTCATACACGGTGGACCCACCCTGGCACCACACCAGGGCCACATGACCACATCTCAGTGTACTTTTCTAAATACAGATGTGCTACTAGCTCCACGCCTGGGAACAGGGATCCTGAACATCTGGCCACAGCCAAACAGTCTGCTTCGGAATGTCTTCAAGGTGATGGCCTGTAACCAGTCTAATGGCCACTGCTTGTCTTCAGTAAAAGGCACCTATCCACTTGATTTTGTAAGTGGCTCCCACAGGCCCCAGGAGTATCCACAGTTGCTATCTATTACCTTGGGGCCCTCAGGTCTGGTTGGGCATGAACTCTGTGAGGTAACTCAGAACAGTCAGGTGGCGAGAAAGCTTTTAGGATGCCTCTGCTTCATCCCTTCTCAAGCATAGCCTAACCTGAGCTCTAGTTTCTGAACCTACTTTTAAACTGTGGATCATGACCCAATCCTGAGTTTTTTGTTTATTTGTTTCTTTGTTTAGTTGGTTTGGTTTGGTTTTTTGAGACAGGATTTCTCTGTGTAGCCCTGGCCATACTGGACCTCACTCTGTGGACCAGACTGGCCTTGAATTCAGAGTCCCACCTGCCTCTGCTTCCTGAGTGCTGGGATTAAAACTATACATCACCACACCCAGTCAATCAGGTTTTAACCAGTGTTTCAAAGACAAGGTTTAAGAGGCCTGTATTAGAAAAGAGAGTCGGCACTCTGACTAAACTATGGACACTGGATCATACTGCAAAGTGTTTTATATGTGGAAAGTTCAATCTAAACTTGGAGTGCCTGTCCTAGAGAAAAGAAAAAGCTGAGGGCCAGGCTGGCTACAGGTAAGAATAGTCCCAGCCTTGAGTCTGATAAATGTTGATATCCAGGGAGAAAGGATGAAAAGGGGCTCAACAAATGCCGCTCAGTTGTATCTCTGTATTCTAGGATGTGAACCAGCTTTTGAAGTCTAACACAGGAAACAGAGTAACTGATGAGACTCCAAAGCCTTAACCCAAAGACTCAAGACTGCTATAAGTCACTTATAAATAGTTCAGAATAACACAGAATCATATTCCCCACACACCTCTGCCAACTGAGCCATGAACCAGAAACACCATAAATCCCAACTAATACCTCCAGGCATGGACTCCACCTAGGTCAGAAGAAATCACCTTTATCCATCCATGGGCACTGCAGTAATGGCACCCCTGGCATTTTCCAGCTTACTTTAAACCGCAACCATTGACTCCCTTTGCTAAGTGAGATACTGCAATCATTTCACAAGGGTTTCAGCTGGTCTGGATGATCTAAATTCCCACAGGATAAATTTTCTCCCTGTCTGACTCTCCTGGAACCACGTGATGGAAGGTATGCCAGGGTCTGCTCATTGCCACCAGGACATCCGCAGCACTGTATAGACGTGAATGCATTAATCCTTGTAATAAGGCAATAGAGCCGACACTGCCCAATCCCCGTCCTATAGATGGAGGAGTGTGGACACAGCGGCAGTCGTTTGCTTTGGTTGTACCATGAAGACATGAAGGGTTGAACCTAGGCCGCTCAGAGACGGGAACTCTACCTCCTTTCCACTTGGCTGGTGAGCCAAGGCCTGTACACTCCTCTAAAAACAGGCCTGAGGGCTTTCTGAATCCTGAGAGAAGTATTCTGCAAGCCAGAGAGAAGCTGCCATTTGGAGAGGAGGAGTAAACAATTTGGACAAGGGATATATGTCACAAAGGGAAATGGTGTCTCAGGAGAGAAGCTCAGGGACACAGGACTAGTCCCCATGGTGACCTCTGTCCCTCTAACTTACCCTGATATGAGAGGGGTTGGGGGAAGAAACAGGTGCTCTGATTGGGGGAACTGAGTTCCTAGGCTACACACACACACACACACACACACACACACACAGAGGCAAATGGGAAAGGTGGGCACAAGAAAGAGTGGCTGGCGCCCAGGGGTCCAAGTACTCATCTGGAGGACAAGAACAGAACATGTCTAAATCTAGATGGGGTCAAGGACAATACCAGGGCCACAGGCAAGCCCGGCTGCTCGAATACTGCCTGGTACCGTGCACCCCCACTCCCTGTTGTATCACACTGGCTCCCAGTGGCTTGCACTGTGAGAATCGGTGGGCCAGCACACGTGCATTGGAAGGCCAGGGCCCGCACCAAAAATGGGACTAACTTTACTGCACAGCCTCACAGGAGCCCTCTGCTGGAAGAACTTGAAAGAACATCCAACCTTACACTCAGTTCACCTGGGAGAGGAATTCCCAAACACACCGTGGAGTGTTTTCATGTTGAGTGGCCTGAGCTACATTTAAAGGTTAGTCATGAGTTGTGTGTAAGGTTTTCACTTCAACTAAGTAATTGTTTGCTGTGAAAGAAACAGCACAGAATTACTAAACAAAGACAGTGTGATAGCTCTGATGCTGTTGTAGTTCTTTATCTGTTGGTTTGTTTTGTCTTGTTTGTTTTTTTTCTAGTAAGGCAGCTAGAGATCACCCCAACAGAAGCATCTCAATTTGCCTGAGAAGGTCAGACCTGTGGCACACACCTTTAGTCCCAGCCCTGGGAAGGCAGAGGAAGGTGGATCTCTGTGAGTTCGAGCCTAGCCCGGTCTATTTGGCAAGTTAGAGGCCAGTCAGTCAGGATTACACAGTGGAATGATGCTTAGAGAAAAAAGCCTGCAAATATCCTGGCTTGAAAGGCACACACTCGGAAGCTGGCCGGTTACTGGGTGTGTGAGGGCACTGAGAACATCAAAGGTTGACAGTGGAAGAAGGGAAAAACAGAGCATCTAGGAATGGCACTGTCAAAGGCAACAGGGGTTTCCGTCTGTCTTTCACTCTGCTTCCCTTGTTAGAGGGTCGCCCACCTCCTCTCCACCTTCAGTACTGTCCCGAGGGAGACGCTGAGCTCCTAGAGCAGTTGCCAAGAAAGGAATGCCACACTCACTTCACACCGTACCACTGCCAGGCCCCGAAATGATCGTTCCCCCGGCAAGAGAGACATCTAAGCGAAGTGGGTGACTATACAAAGAGGAACCATCTCCATTTTAAGTGGAAAACCTGTCTTAGTTACCGAGGTAATGGAATGAAAATTCTATTAAATTTTTGTTTGTTTGTTTTTTCAAGATGGGGTTTCTCTATCTAACAGCCCTGGCTGTCCTAGAACTCACTCTGTAGACCAGGCTGGCCTTGAACTCACACAGATCTACCTACCTCTGCCTCCCAAGTGCTGGATTAAAAGCATGAGGCACCACCGCCTGGCCATGAATTTATTTTTTTAAAGCTCTATTTTTACCTAATTTTTTTTTTTTTTTTAAAACACAGGCCTTGGTAATAATGTATAGGTATAAACATTTTCCCATTTCAACATCAAAAGAGAAGTTGAGGGCCTGTACAAATGGGAAGAGGGGAACATGACCATAGCTCCAGTGTCATCTCCGGCCAGTTCTGAAGCCCGGAAGATGATGTGCCCTGAGTAGCTGACCTGTTAAAAGTCCTGCTGGACCTAGCTTGTAGGCCTTTACCCTGGGCTTGTAGGAGTTGCCTCAATAAAAATGCCAGCAACAGCCAGCAGGGGGCCTGCCGGCTTGCCTGCATAGGCAGGAATAGCCACAACCCTGGCCATCCTGGTGAAAGGGCTGGCCTTTTTGATGAAAGGCAAGCAGGCCACCTGGCCCTTCCTGGTAGTAGTAGGTGTGGGTAGCATCCAAAGCCCTCAAATCCCAGAACTTAAAAGAGTGCAGGTATGGAATGGTTCTTAACACGAGAGGCAAATCACCTCTAACAATGTTAACCTGCAAGGAATCCAGACTATGACCTAGTCTGCGCATTGCCCAAAAGACAAAGTTAGCCCTCTCCTTTCTGTTTTTGTTAGTAAGGCTTTGTTGGCTAGAACACAGACATGCCCATTCAGTTACGTTATGGTCTCAGCTGCTTCCCATGGAGATGAACAGAACTGAATAGCTGTGAGGAGATCTGAGGAGACAGCAATGTACAACTGAACCAGAAAAGGAAGTCCTCTTGCTAAGTCTAATCTGTTCCTTGATCTGGAGCAGATAAGGACATGAGTAGTAGCAAAGTCAAGACTCGATCTCAGGTTCCTGAGGCACACTGCTCTGCAACACTGTCTGGTCCTGGCCAACGCAGCAACTTTGCAGGAGTTTCATTGTTCCACTTTTGTGCATGGGAACAAATACTCTCTATGAAAACTTTTTATCTTTTTTCATCACACTTAACCCTTGGTTTTATGGGGTTATCTTCTGATAGATACTTTGCAAGCACAGAAGGATTTGCTACACCCGCCTTCACCGAGCCACTTAGTAACTGGTTGACGATAGTTTCACAAGCCTGCCAGCCTTGGATTAAGTGATACAAACTTGGTTAGAAGTTACCTTCTTGGCTGTATGTCCCTTCTGTGAGGTTTGCATTTGTTCTCACAGGTCACAGACTCGCTAATGGGAGTGCACAGTTGCACTGTAAGGGGGACTAGGCCAGAAAGGACTGAACTTTCTCCAAAGGATTCCAAGAGAGAAGTCTTCCACCAGAGGGCTGCTCTGACCCTGGAGATGATTGCTTCCCGGAGCCCTGACAGCCTTGGGTTCCTTGGCCAGCCATCAGTTCTATGGCTTGTAGATTTCAAAGTTTAACCTAGGGATAGCCACAAAAGGCGGAAACCAGGTTGTTCAAAGGCACTGTGGCTTTCATCAGAGAAGGCTCAGATTCCAGACAAACCTCACACTAGCTCCACTGAGATCACTGATAAGAAACTTCTGGTGCTCAAACTGGACAGTCCCTTCCTCTACCAGCAGGTGGCGACCTGGCCTTGAACCTCACCTTCCACAGTGAACAACACTATCCCTCCATTCAACCCAAACTTTCTCCACCACAGGGGCCTTGGCTGGAAGGTGGGCAGTTGCTAAGGTGCTAAGCTACCTTCTTGCAAAGTTCTCCTAAAATTTGTTTTATGTGCACAGATATTTCGCCTGAATGATATCTATGCTCCACACATGTGCCTGGTGGCCAAAGGGGCCAGAAGAGAATGTCACAACCCTTGGAATGAAGCTGAAGACAACAGCCATGAGGCACTATGTGGGTGCTTAGAATCAAACCCAGGTCCTCTGCCAGAGCAGCCAGTGCTCTCACCTGCTGAGCCACCATCCCCAGCTGCAACTACCTTTTCTGCCTTCCACCTTTGGCATGTCCATCCGTTTGTGATGTAGGAAGTATATAAATTTGCTAAGCTTTTTCCTTTCCTACCCTCTGTCAGAATTGCACACCAGTGTGAGATGACAAAGGAACCTGAGGGCTGGAGAGAACTCAGTGGTTAAGCCCCTGATTGCTCTGCCGGGGGACCCAAGTTTGGCTCCCACATTAGGCGGCTCTCCTGTAATTCTAACACCAAGGAGTCCCGACACCCTCTTCTGGCCTCTGTGGGCATATATGTGCATGCATGAGTGTGTGCACATGCCAGAACACACAGATTCACACACATACACACACATTCACACGACAGCACATGCATGCCCAAGCTACACACATGCACACGCACACACAGAAAAACAGACAAAGCTAAGAGACTTAGGAAGTTAAATCGGTTTTGCACAAATGAATGGGGGTAAATCTTAGCCAGCAGCTGCATCCTGTCAGGGTGTGGGCCAGGCCCTGGACACACAAACATAAGCAGGAGTTAGGGCTAAGGGGCCACAGAGGCAAAGATCCAGAAGGGCAAGCTCCTTTCCCTAGGACTCGAGGCAGGCTGCTCGCACTTTTGGTGCTGTGAACGCCAGCACCTGTGGATGTGGGCAGCCAGAACATCTACCACATCACTTAGCTGAGATAACCATCCCAGACCTGACAGTTTGCCCCATTCTTCTCCCTTCACCAAGCTACTGAGGTACCAAAGCCTCAGCCCCACAACTCTGCCTGTGGTGCACTGACTGATCCACCACCCAGATGCCCGTCTGCTGCGCATGCTCATACCTGAAGGGCTTGCTGTCGGGGTCAGTGTCCTTGAAGCCCATCTCCTCGAGCTTACAGCGCCGATACAACTCGTAGTGGCGAGTGTGCGTCTGCTCTCGCAAGTCTTCCATGTTCACTCGGATCAGCATTTCCCTCAGCTTCACAAAGTCACAGTGGTTTTCGTTCTCAACTACCGGAAGAGAAGCAAAGGAGAGGGGGGCCGTCAGCAGTGAGGCCACAGAGAGCCAAACAACGCTCTGGAGCAGGTGTCATTGTCCCTCTTGAGATCGGAGGCCTTGAAGGCAGAGCGGACGCCTTGCTGGCTCCTCCCTCCACTCCTAAGGGAGCACTGACTGTGATGGTGGAAATAGATCGCTGAGGGAGGAGCTCTACAAACCTCTTCCTCATCTTCCAACCAATCTGCCTAGAAAATTGTGACTCTTCTCTGCAGAGGCAGAAGTCTGGGCTTGGGATGCCACCTGTGGGCCCAACAGGGACCTAACATCTGGTTCCAGAGTCAGGCCCGTAACCACCACTCCATACTGTTCCAACCCCGCAGGGCAGTGTTTAAATAGCACCATTCTTCCTCATCTCCAGATCTGCTGAAATAACATTTCCTTGGAAAACAGCTTTCCCAGGGCTGGGGAAGAAACAAGTGCCCTCTTGTTGGAAGACTTTTTCGTTCTTCCAGCTCTCGGATGCTCTGCTGATGTGACCGGCCCACACTCCTTGTGGTGAGAGAGCCCTTTCCTCTTCTAGGAGTTTTTATTAATTTCCTTAAAGAACCTGACATCTTCAAGGGCTGAACATTTCTCCCTCACACCCACGGTGGCTGAGCACGCGCAGAGGCGAGCTGTGGTGGAGATAGGGGAGAGCATGGGATGGAACAAGACAACACACACAGCCCTATGTACTCCCACGCGCCCCATGTTGATAAACGACACAGGGAGGAAAGAAATGGGGCCATCGTTTCTTCATCATGGCACCCACCAACCTAAGAGTCCCTTTCCTGTGACAAGACATACCCTGCACCACACCCCAGGGGTACTGCCTGGCCTTGGCCATCTTGTTGCCAATCTTCACCTCTTCGGTGCTGCCAACCACTGCAAATGGGAGATGGACCTGCCAAGATGGAGAACAGATAAACCGTTATCTTCCACAGCTCCGGTCACAGCCCCTGACCCCATCACTCTCCCAATCAGAGACCCGCTGTGTCCATCGGGCACTTAAAACATGGCTTGCAGAGGACAGGAGAGATGACTCGGTTGTTAAGAGCACTGGCTGCTCTTCCAGGGAACTGAGGTTCAATTCCCAGCACGCCCATGGCGGTGGGTCACTGTCATCTGTAACTCCAGGTCCAGAAGATCTGACGCCCTCTTCTGGCCTCTGTGGGCACTGCATGCACACGGTACATAGACACACATGCAGACAAAACACCCAGACACATAAAAAAATAAATAAATAAGTAAACCTTTAAAAATATATATGGCTTGTGGGATCAAGATGCTCACTTTTAAATTTCATTTTCTTTTAATTGATTCACATTTAAATTTAAAAATGAAAGCAATGCAAAAAATATCTTCCCATTAAATATTAAATGTATTGATTGATAGAAGTTTGCATTTTCATTTAGCTTTGAGATCAAATCAAATCTTCAAAACAAAGAGAACAGAGCCAGGCATGGTGGTGCACACCTTTAATCCAGCACTCAGAGAGGCAGAGGCAGGTGGATCACTGTGAGTTCAAGGCCAGCCTGGTCTACCAAGTGAGTCCAAGGCAGCCAAGGCTGCACAGAGAAAGCCTGTCTAGGCTGCCAGAGAAAGCCTGTCTTGAAAAAAAAAAACAAAACAAAAAACAAACCAAAAAAAAAGATCCCTTAGCCCAGCTCAGTGGCACACACCTGTAATCCCAGCAGAGGCAGGCAGATCCGTGAGAGTTTGAGGCCAGCCTGGTCTACAAAAGGAGTAGAGAAACCATCTTGAAAAACCAAAAAAAAAAAAAAAAAAAGGGGGGGGGGGAAAAAAAAGAAACAGTTTTATGAAGGTAATACAAAATCTTAAAAAAAAAAACTTTATCGTAGGTAACTGTCTTCGTATTGAAAGACTCTAAAGTGTGTTAGGAATAACGGATACCTAGATCTACCTCTTGACTATAATTTCATGACACGACGCAGATCAGTTGTTTCTGGTGACTGTGAAATCCAACTTGAGGTTGGGGTCATTAGAAGTATACACTGGGTTCCACAGGCCTGCCCCGGAAGCATCACATTGGTGAGGTGTAAGTGGACTAGCTTGCACTGTGTTTCTATAGAATGCGGCTGTTTATTTCCTGGCTTGGCAGTGCTGGAGAGGGACCCAAGGCCTTGTGCAAGCTAGGAGAGAACTGACTGCTGAACTGAGCTCCCAGCTCCAGAATTACTTGAGATGGCTCATCAACGCACAGATTTCCTGTCAGAAGAGTGCTTAAGCCCCAAATGCTGCCTCGAGCCTTGCCCTAGAGCTTAGCTTGAGCAGAGATGGTCTGGTGTCCAAGACAATGGACTCTTCCATACTGAGCTATCTGGTAGTTATGATGACATCCTGAGTGTGCAGGAGAAAATAACTGCTTTCTATCAGCACACAGTGAGGAGATCTTCAGAGCTGCTCTGCGAACTAGTGTTTCTGGTCCCCTCTCCACTGTTGAGAAGAGAGAAATGTTTTCAAGGTAAACCTTCCTCCACACAGAACCTGCCAGAATCCAGAGCTCAGGCTGCACATACGGCATTCTGTGTGATGGACGAGATATTTGCGTTTTTCCTAGTCCACACGACTCTGACCAACAGTTACAAAGGATAGCACCGCTCTGACTGAGGACCAGACCTCTGCTCCCAGAGTGCACCACTCTGACTGAGGACCAGAGTTCTGTTGCCCACACTCATGTTTTTGGGGAACTCAAACCACTTCAGATCTGGAGCCCCTGGCCTCCCATGTACATACTCACATAAACGCACATACTCATACACAAAATTAAAACTAATTCTGTTTAGTTTCGTTTTGAGACAGGATATGACTATATAGCTGGCCTGAAATTTGCTATTTAGATCAGACTGTCTTCAAATTCATAGAGATCTGCCTGCCTCTGCCTCCTAAATGCTGGAATTAAAAGGCGTGTGCCAACCGCCCTCAGCTAAAAATAAAATGGATCTTTAAAATTTTCCTAATCTATCTGACACTACGGCCAAGTCTAGATTTAATCTCCTGATTAAGAGGAGTATCCATGACAACAGAGAAAGCGGCTGGACCAAAAGCCAAGGGGCAGAGCCCCTCCTGGTGTGCTTGGTGACTCCTTGTGCACACACTCCAGACTGAGATGGTATCAACAACATCCAGCCATGGTTTCTTGGCCAAACTGATCAGGGTAGACACAAACATCAAACTATCACATGGGCAGGTCCTTAGGTGCTTCTAACATGATCTGTGACATCAAAGTAGTAGGGGCCTGTACATGGATATAAACAGGTCAAAAGGGAGAGGGGCGGACAGTAAAGGAGGGGAAGAAACAAAGTGTACCACGATCCTAGATATAAATGAGTGTGTGTGTGCATGGGACAGGAAGGCAGAAGCGGGTCTGTTTGGGGGAAGCAAGAAAAATGCCAAGTTGGCACCATGTTCAACATGGCTTGGCATCTTGTCCTAACAGGGCCAACGAGAGAATTAAAGGAAGGACAGACACACACATAGAAAAGTGGGATCAGGTCGGCTGTATGCACTGATGGACCCAAACCTACGACTGCACAACAGCTGGAACCTCTGCGAGCTGACTGTGTCCAGCACCGGGAGGGGGCTAGCTCATCTCGGTAAGAGGTCTGTGTGGGTGAGCAGCGAACATCACAGAAGAAACTGCCGTCGATAGTTTTTGCACACGCTAGTCAGTCATTGGTGTACACTCATATTTGTTCATGCAGTCAACATTCACACTGGGAGTAGAGAAAGGCTTTGTCGCCCTTCTGAGCCTCGAGGTGGTGTGTGTGTGTGTTTGCGCGTGTGTCAACAGCATTGCCATCTCCAAGGATCTGAGGCACCGGTCTTTGACAGTGGCCCCTGTCAAACAATACACATTCCCACAGGACTTCAAAAGCTCCTTACACACAGTCAGGGCTTCCTCGGCTCCCCACAGTAGGGGTTAGTATGAGCAAAGTAAAATGATAGAGATTTTTGGAAACAATTATTTTGTATCCTAAAAACTAATTTTAAAAATACTTATAACTCCCCAAAATAGGTAAATTAATTATGCTTGGTCAAAGAGGCAACTGATCTCTGCATGATTTATGCCTATGATCCTGGCACTCAGGAAGCTGAGGCAAGAGGCTGAAGAGTTAAGAGCCAGCCTTGAGTTTGAGGCCAGTTTGGGCAAGATGAGACCTGGCCATGAGAACAATGAAAGGACCATTGAGACAGTTCACTTATCTCTCTGCTGTGGATAGTATACCCTCAGGTTTTGGTTTACTGTCTGATTCAGGAAAGTCCAGTGAAACAGCACAGAGGGGAAGGCAGCTCTGAGGCAAATGGCAGGCAGGCAGCCAGCCAGCCATATTTCTGCCAACGGCAGAGTCAGGGTTCTCCTTTCTTTGAGCGGCTTTGTATAAGGTCCCGTACTCTTATCACCTTCCTAGAAGACTCCCCCATTGAAGTCAGAGTGGGCAGAAGGCTGAAATAACCCTGCCTAATTTTCCCACGTGACAGTGAGGGAAACTGAGGCACCAGCTAGTTAAATGGCTCGCAGCAACAACAGAGCTGGAGTCAGTGCAGCTGGACCTCAGCGCAGGCTTTGCCAGGCCCTCTGCAGAGCTACCACTATACCAGCTCTGCGGAAGGCCTCCCTCTTGGCCCATTTGACTGGCAACTTACACTCATGGTCGCGTTAATCTCGGCCACGGTTTCCTCGTCTGTGGGGAACTGATAGATCTGGACTCCGTTGCTCACTAGTTCACTCATAATCTTACTCTTGAATTTGTGCAGTTCGTTCTTGGCGATGGTGTCAGCTTTTGCAATTATTGGAATGATGTTCACCTGCAAGGGAAGCACGTCCATGCTCATGCAATCCCGAGAGAAGAGAACAATGAGAAAGGGCGGCAATTAAGCGAAGGCTACAGGGCAACACTGTAGGGTGCGGGCCATGCTGGCCATCAGACTTCCTTCCACGTGTGAGGTTCAGCCGCAGAAGCAGCTCAGCTCCCCGCCCCCCACCGAACGCAGACGTCCTCACATCCCACATGCTTATTCGTAATTTCCTCTCCTGCACCACCTCTCTTTACAGAGTAAAAGGAAGTGCTTTTACCCCCGTGACAAATAGTGACAGCAAGGAAGTGAGTCGGCTCTTTGGAAAAACAGTCGCTCCTTCCAGGAGCTTGATTTTTTCACGCCCATGAAGCAAGGCATTATCAGTGCTAGGCAGCATCCTCTTTTTTCTCTTCTGATGACCTGAACATTTCTCGCAGAGGTTCAAGTATCAAGACAAAAATTAAAAATAAAATAAAATAAAAATAACAAAGGCAATAATAATAATTTTAAATTACCTGTTTTTAAATTTTTCAAACTTAAGAGTTAATTCTTTTGAAGATCATTTTTTTTATCAAATGACATTCTCATCTCACAAAAAGGTCCAGTATCAAAAGCAAGGCTCACCTTGAGCAACGTGACACACACATAATTTTAGCACTAAGGAGGGAGGGTGAGGAGGCCATGCTGTGCTATACAGAGAGTCTGAGGCTGGCATGGGCTACATGAGACCCTCGCTCAAAAACAGCATGGCTCACTTTCAGGGTGTAATTACAAAAAAGGGGCGGCATTAATGGTAGACATGCTGGAATAAGAGCTCTGGACACCTGAGAACATAGGAGCAACCCTTAGCCCTGTCCAAAGGACACAGTTTGCTTTTCTTCTTTTAAATATATTTTTTAAAGATTTACTTGTTTGCTTTATGTATATGAGTTATACTGTCTTCGTGCACACCAGAAGAGGGCACCAGATCACATCACAGATGGCTGCGAGCCACCATGTGGCTGCTGGGAATTGAACTCAGGTCCTCTGGAAGGGCAGACAGTGCTCTTAACCGCTGAGCCATCTCTCTAGCCCCAGCCTGCTTTTCTTTTCAAGGTCTCATGTAGCTGGCGTCAAACTCACTCTGCTGAGGCTGGTGGGAGCTCCTGATTCTCCCACCTCCTCCTGAGTGCTAGGACTACACAATGTCTGTAAGTTTTATTTCACCGTGTAGTTTTAATTCACAGATTAAGATGAACTTTCTCCTTCTCCCTCACAGGCACAGAGGTTTTAGTGAGATGCTGTGGACATCTGGTATCCAGACTACACTCTGCCTAGCTCAGGAGCTCTCAACCTTTCAGGGTTTTCAGGCACATTTGAAATTTTGGCTTTTCTTCTCCAAGGGCCAAATCAAAAAACCCTGACAGACCAGAACAACAGACAGTGCTGACAGAAAATCTTTGTCTTCAACATATCTCTCGAATCCTCTCAAATCTCTAGGGCTCGGACTTCCTCTGATTAAGAGGAGTATCCATGACAACAGAGAAAGGGGCTGGACCAAAAGCCAAGGGGCAGAGCCCCTCCTGGTGTACTTGGTGACTCCTTGTGCACACACTCCAGACTGAGATGGTATCAACAACATCCAGCCATGGTTTCTTGGCCAAACTGATCAGGGTAGACACAAACATCAAACTGTCACATGGGCAGGTCCTTAGGTGCTTCTAACATGATCACAATTGCCTAACACTTCCCTTTATCTTTATAAATGATTTAAATGCAATTTATTGAAAGATGCTACCTAGCTCTCCAAAAACGTCATAATCGAGTTCTCTGCAAGTTTAACCTGCTTTGCAGTTGGACTTTTTGGTTTGTTTGTGTTGGTTGTGTTTGTCTGGCCTCCTTTTCCTTTCAGCTCTCAAATAGAGAGCCACCTCCTTCGCCTTTCTTTAGAATGTCCCCAACAAACAGATGATGCTTAGAGAGAAGGACCTGCCTGTTTCCAAGGACAAAGCTGAAGAGGAGCAACCCTCCCCACAGGGGACCTGCCCCCACCAGGTCAACAGCAAGGCAAGACTCCCAGGAATCGAACAAAGTTCAGAGAATTGAGCAGGGTAAGGAAGAACGTCTGTTATCCTTGCAGAGTCCTCTGGCAGTCGTAGCAGTAGTAATAGTACTAATAACAGAACAATTTAAGGGCCGTAGAGTATCCTTCTGCAAAGCATTCTGCCCACAGAAGCCCGAGAAGCCTGGCAGACAGGCTGACCACTGAACACACTCTCTCTCTGTGAACAGTATTTCTTTTTTTGGGGGGGAGATGTACCCAATAACACACCCTAGGGGTTCTGATCATCCAGTAAGAATCTCCACTGAATGCAAAAGGAAGTCAGAATCTAGGGGAATGTACCATGTTTCAGTCTGTGGTTGCTCTTGACGCCATTTGTAGCATGTATTTTAGGACATATTGTTTTCACTCTATTTCATAACAGAAAACTGAATTAATAACTGATAAAATTGGACATCAGATTTCATCGCACTGAACTGCCCCTTCCTTCCAGAGCTGTAAAAACGGAGTTTACAAACACGGCAGGCCCAGGGCCATAAAATAAATAAAACATAGTCTTTACTTTCTGTGGAGACACAGGTGGTTTTAAAATCTCAAGCACATGTAGTTTTAATCCCCAAGCAGGCAAAACATTAAAACCTGATCTTACTCTAAACTTCAAATTAAAGCCAGTGCTTTAGAGATCTCCAGGAGGCCAAATCAATGTCATAATCATATTTCAATCCCCATTTAAGAATTAAGTATAGTTTCATGTGCTACAAAAGAAGGCTTTGTCTTCTCTTGCCTAACACCCAGATGAGGTTTTAGGCCCTTATCTCACATGGCCAAACTCGACGTCTCTGTAACCCAAGAAAAAAGCAAGCTGTAACAATAACCCAGCTACACGCATCACAGAAAACAACCAGGGACTCAGAGAAATGGTGACATAAAGCAGTGTGGATGGGACCGTATCCAGTACCTTGCTGTCGAGTTTCTTCATTGTGACCAGGTCTAAGGACTTCAGTGAATGTCCCGTGGGGGCAATGAAGTAAAGGCAGGCATGAATCCTCGTGTCGTGGTAGTTGAAGAGAGAACGTTTAATTTTCAATTCCTCTTGCAAGTACGCCTCAAACTGGGCATCAATATATTCCACAATAGGCTTATAGCTAGAATGCAGAACATCATCTTAAAAACAGTTTCAATTTTTGTTTTATTCTCAAAGTTCTTGCAGGTTGCTACAAACAGTCTTTCAGTCAACATTATGGGTGATACTCTGCCTAGGAGATAGGACCCAAGTTCTTTACCTTTCCTGCCTGACTCCTCTGTTCTAGCAGCATACAATCACCTGTACTGGTCCCTACACATCAGTCTTCACGTGCCTCCGGCCTCTGCTTGCAATGTCCTTTAGCCAGTACCTCTAAGAGATCATGGTCCTCAGTAAAGTGATTCTGACAGTTTCTAACGCCTGCTTAGCATCGTGCATGGAATGAAGCCAGCATGTATGTGATTTCAGACTGAGGTATCACTGCCCCCAGGACCAGGACCAGGACCAGGACCAGGACCAGGACCAGGAGCTTTCCCTGGACCTCCGCATCCCCACAGAGGCAAGCAGGCTGAGCACATCCATCAGGTTCATCAAGACACTGAAGCCTGGGCAACTGTGATTTAAGGCTCTTTCCAGTATGAGGAATTTTGTCTTTTAACCATAAACTGTGTGTTCTCCTCTTCCTCACCAAGCCATAGTTAACTGTGTTTTGGATAAGTATGTATGATTCTATTAACTGGCCATGAAAAATCATCAACAGTGTCATATCAGAAATAGATTCTGCAGAAAGTATGTTGATAATTGTGGGGAAACCCATTAACCCTTTCTGTCTACAGGGGAACCAACCAGAGGGACTTGGTTTTAGCAGCAAAGAGATAGATCTATTAGAAACACACAGTGTTACTTCTCTCCAAACTTGGTTTCTAGTGAACAATTCCATTTTCAGAAATTCAAAGTCTTTGAACACCCAGATTCTGAACCCATAAATTAACTGAAAGCCCCAAAAGGGTGCCAAAAATCCTTCCATTAAGGATGGCAGGAGATGTCCTAAGGAGAGTGGCAGAAAACAGATGCATGATCAAGACTGAGAAGAATCAGCCAACAGCTTTGTTTTGTTTAGGAGGGAGGAAGGGAAGGAGGGAGGGAAGGAGAGGAAAAATTAGAGAAAGAGAGAGACAGAAACAGGGAGAGAAGGACGGAGAGTTGGACTGTGTGTGTGCGTGTGTGTGTACCTGTGTATACGGAGGCTGGAGTCAACCTCAGGCATTGCCTGTCAAGGACCATTTACTTCATTTTCTGAGACAAAGTCTCATACTGGTTTAGGCCTTGTCAAGTAGGCTAGGCTAGCTGGCCAGTGAGGCTCAGGGATTCTGCAGTCGCTGCCTCTCCAGAGCTAGAATTACAGACTGGTTCAATGGCACTTGGCTTTTCGATATGTGTTTTAATACTAAATGAGCTATTGCCCCAGCCCCTTGCTTAGGGGTTTTGAGGCAGTCTTGACCTGTAGCTAGCCTTGAACTTGCTATGTTGCCTAGGCTAGGCTCTGCTCAACAGGAACTTGTGGAGTTCCTGACTCAGCCTCCCAAGTGCAGGAACCACATGCATGCGTTCCTAGACTGAGCTACTAAACAACAGCCCCCTGGGCTCCTTCTTTGATGGTGTGACCGTAATCCACTTGTGGAATGTAAACAGAGTCTCTACAGGTTTAAAAGAACAAAAAAAGGTAGACTATGTGTCAGCAATTAAAATTAGAACTGCAAAAGCCTAATGCAAAAGATAGTGATTGATAAGATTCTCTTTCATTTCTCAATTTTTAAATATAGGCACAAATTACATAATAATATGCAGGCTTGTTATTTGGGGATAGTTTGAGTGAGAATCATGACTCCAGGCCAAAGTGCCCGAGACTAAAAGCAAGCATCCTAGTTACTAGCTTCATGGCTTTGGACAGGTCACTAAATCTTTCCTGTTCTTCACTTTCCCCATAAACAAATCAGGTGCAAAAATAATGCGTTGAGCAGATCCTGCTACACACTTGTAATCCTAGGACTAGCAGATAGAAGAAGGGAGATCAAAAGTTCAAGGCCAGCCTCAGCTATACAAGTTCCAGACAAGCCTGGGCTACAAGACGCCCTGTCTTCTAAAAAGGTAAAACAAAATACTGTTTTGTTTTGTTTTTTTAATCAAAGAACTACAGTGACAAGTGAATAACATAGTAGATTTAAAGGATGTACACTGCAAAGACATTTCATAATTTCATAATATCATAAATAAAGAATGCAGGAAATCTAAGGAAAATGGCTGGAGTTTTTAAAAAAAGGAAGGAGTGAGAGAAAGACCCAAGAACTCCACACCCTTTTCAGTACCCATCTCCCTGGTGCTGAGCCCCACCCTGTGGGAAGTGGATAGGCCAAGGAGGTCCACCCATCATGTCTGGAGACGGAGCCTTGGGGTTTCCTGACACTGGGGCAGGCTGGGGGTTTAGACTCTCTTTGGCAACCTCTCATCCCACAGTATATCCTTGTCTCGTTTCTGAGCAGGGCTGTCCTTGCCTTATCTCAGGAGCAGCCCTAGCTTGTTTCTGCGTTCCCTTCTTGCCGCTGTGCTAGTGGCGGGGGGGGGGGGGGGGGGCGCGCCCGGGGGGGGGGGGGGGGGGGGGGGGGGGGACCCCCGCTGGGCATGTGTGTGTGGGGAGGGTTCTTTCAGAACAGGGTTTTTGAGTCCCTTGTTTTCTTTGCACCCCAGGCCTTTTCTGTGGCTGCTTCCAAAGGCCTGCCAGTCCTTTGCCTTCTCTTCCTCCCTCTGTAGTCTCCCTGGAAAAGCATTTCTATTCTGAGTTTCCTTTACCACCTGACAGGTCTCAGCTCTCTACTTCCAGTCCCACCCAGTCTTTCGGCTGAGCTTCAGATCCACACCCTCAACTGCCTATCAGATACTTCCAACTCTTCTTCTATGGCCCATTGGAGCCCTTCGTTCCCACCTTGTCATCCTTAGGCTGTGGGTGCCAGGAGCCTGGAGTTCAACATGGAGCCTCCCTCCCCTTCACAGCCAAGAATGAAATCTCCTCCATCTAGCCTAAGTGAAGGCCTAGTCCGTAAGAGATGTAACTATCCCCTAGCACTAGCAAAGTAAACGTCCAATCAATAAAGTGGTATGAGTTTTGTTTTGTTTTTTAAAGATGAGGAGGAGGAAGAGGGGGAGGAGGAAGAAGAAAAAGGGCCTTTAAAAGAAGAAAAGGAGGGAGGAAATTACATCATTATAAACAAACAAAAGACATGTACTCTTGGAGAATGATTTCCTTAGGCTAAAGTTTCATTATGGGAATGAAACAATGAAACAGCTTCCTCTGGGGAAACAGGCTGGCCAGCGGGCGTTTTCAGCTCAGTGTTCTTGAAACAAGTTCCACTGTCCCTCAACCCCTTTTGCTTCTGCATTCATAGTCAGAAAGAGAAAACCTAAACCTTTTGTTAGTTTCCATGCTAAGAACGTACACCTGTTTGTGCTCTGTGTGGCCAGTTCATACCTCTCAGGCTTGTAGGAGGGGAACAAAGCAGTTGTGATTCTTTACCATAATTTCCTTCTGAGGGAGCATTCCTCATCAATGAGTGTTTTATTCATATACTTCTAATCATTAAAAAAGTACAGTGAAATGAGATGTGTCTGACCTAAAATTACAGGGAAAAACTATTTGACGTGAGTTTCTTCTATGATCATCCCTGCACAGTAGCCAATGGTATTATATGGACACCGACTCCATTTTCTATTATTTAAATATTAGCCTGTTTTTCCTCTTCTCTTGCTGTTAACCAAACACCATTCTCCTTACCTCTGGACTCTTCTGCCAGGAAGCTGAATAAAAACCTGGAGTTAAAAAGTCAAACACTGCACTTTTCAGCTGTTTCACAACTGTGGCAGAGTGGACTGATTTGTCACAATTTTCAGGCTGGTTACCTTGCAGTTCATGGTGTTTCCCAAAGGTGGGTGAACTATTCTGGTTCTGGTCAGCCACAAGACTTTGTTGGTCCTTGCCTCTCCAGACCCTTTCCCTCATCCATGAGTATAGTCAGAGCAAAGAAGACTTAATTAAACAAGATGTAAACATAACGGGAAATTCTCCCAGACCCCTCTCTTCCTGCCTCCTTCTAGCTAGCAAGTCAGAGGCAGATAATGGGTCAAGAATGCTGACATGTCCCAAGTCTATAAACAACTGGGACACTCTTGATGGCCTCAATCTATGGCAGAAAAGCTTGCCTAATAGGAAAAAGATAATCCTAGCTTTGAGAAAATCCTATATGGTTACACACTGATGTAAAAATGCATATTCCATTTTTAGTATTTTGATGGGAGCAGAGACTGCCCAGAAACTATTTTTAGATAAATCACCCAACTTTACAGTTAGTTGCCAACAATGCCTTTTGAGGTCTCGTGCTACAAAAGCCATTCAAAGAGGTTATGCAAGAGTTGTCAAGAAACTAAAGAGGAAAAAAAATATTTGGTATCTAGGTTAGGTTAATATCACACTTCCTCTCTTCTGAGTCTCCTTGGAAACTATTATTTGACCCAAATGAGTCAGATAATGTCTTAGAGGACTCCAGATGCAGATATGGGGTTCCGCACTGTGCTAGCTTTGCTGTTTTGCAGCTTGTTGCTGGCCAGTGAGAACCCACAGCTTGAGCGGAGCTCTCAGCTAGGGGTGAGGCAAAAGAAAAAATGGGCAGGACTGAGGCCATGGCTGCAAGCTGGAAAGGCCGTGGGGCTTCAACAGCAAGATGTTAGATGAAAGCTGGTTCTCAAGCCTGTGGGAAGCCAAGAATCCAGCCGGGGAATGCATAAACATGAAATTCCCCCCAACTCCCAGAAGAGATCTATCCAGCAAGGAGCTGAGAGACACGCTTTGCTCTGTGCACAGTCTTCAACAGGCGGGGAACAGATGCTCCTGGTTCTGTCTCCTGCTCCCACAATGCACCTGTGCCCTTCTTCTGGTCCCCAGGATTTTCTCATTTGTTCCATTTGGCATTCAAAGGGCCTTCAGCTGCAACCTCCCCATCATACGTTGGCACTGAAAGTCAGAGGAGGGTCAGATCTTGGCTGTCCCTTCAGCAGCAATGACAGTCAGAGGAGCATCAGGGTTTGGTTGTCCCCTCCCCAACCTGGTACAAATGACCCCACTTTGATCGTATGCAAATAAAGTCCTTTCACTCAAGTAATAGTTGCCTGTGTTATCACAGGACAACATCTCCTGCAGTGTTTAAAGCACTCTGCAGATAAAACAGACCTCAGTGCTCAGCTAAAGAATGAATTACCTTACTTCCGCCATGAAGCTGTGGGACTTATTTCTATCAGCTATTGTTAAATCGTATCTGGATGACACACATTCCTACATACAAAGGTTTCAAACTCCTCTTTACAGAATACACCCACAGAAACACACACACCATTTTGAGGAAAGGATTTTTGAAAACTCCAACACCGATACTGCTTATAAGCAAAACATTCCTCAACTTACTGGCATATACTGATCACTCTAAGGCAGGAGGCAGTCCTATAATGCTGTCGTTATCCAAAAATGTTTTTGGGCCTGAGGTACTTACCTTAAATCTGTTTGTAAGAGGGCAGGCCGTCTAATGGAGACAAGGGGTGCACCCTAGGGCTGAGCCCCCATGTCTGGCCCCACCCCTGGAAGGACCATGAAATCTACATGATCTGGCCCTGGCCTCTTGGTTTTCTACAAATTATAAGGCATGGTGGTAGAAATTAGGTTTTCTCCCCTTGGTTTGACCAAACCAAAACACCCATTTCCTTTAGACTACAGGGAAACTAAGGCAGGGGGTTCTGGAGTGGAGGCTCATGTAATACTCTGAGAACAAATGGAGGATTTTAAACAGTTATGGCATCTGAAGTTAAGCTTGAAGAGCAGGCTCGCTGACCTTGGGAGGAGCGAAGGTGTGACTCTGAGAGCTGCCGTAACATACACATTACACTCCCACAAGATGTAAGAAATAACAGCTTCGCTCACTTCCCTCCAGGAGGGGCACACAGCCACTCACAGAGAAGACTCATGTTTACGTGGCTTTATAACTGGGCTGTGCGCTTTACAGAATCAAAACTCACTGCAGCATTTTACAATATAGCTTCGAGCTTACCTGAAGAATCAGAGCCAGAGTTTAGGACTTACATAAGAATCCACTGGCCGCGAACAGCTCTATCGGTATACGAAATCCACTGTGCCAGAATGCTTTTAAAACAGTTTATCTTTTAATTAGGAGTTATTTTCCCATACAGACACAGGATTTTGTAGCATAAATTGCCTAGTCTGGTAAATTCTCTGTGTGGAGGAAGCTTTAACCCATCCAATCGAGCTAAATTCCTCCATTAGACTCCACTAACCCTCCCAGTTGCTATTCAGACACTATTTGGCAATTCTTGAAGTCTTCTTAGGCCTTTAAATTTCTGTGTGATGGAGGTTCCTTGAGATGGAGCCTTCTATCTCCAACCCATTTCTATAGCTACAGAAATGTTAAGACATACATACATACCTGTCATCTTTATTAATCTGGTCTCCAAATCCCACCGTGTCAACAATGGTCAGCTTCAGCCGTACGTTGCTTTCCTGAAGTTCATAACTTCTGGCTTTTAACCGCACACCAGGCTCATTGTGAGAAGCTGGGTCACTTTCAAATTTGGTGTTGAATAACGTGTCCATCAATGTGGATTTGCCAATACCTGTTTCACCTATATAACCACAAAAGAAAAAAAATCAAAACTGGGTTAAAAATGCAATGAGGGCAATGTGACTGGAAATTCCACTGTGAATCTCGTGGTTCTTTCTCTGGATGATCCAGGGATTACTTCCTTAGAAAGGCCTCTAAATTCCTTGACTATTTAGTCGAAGGGGGCTTGCCTTACGGATCAGGGTATTTTCTAATAGCCACAAAGCCTGATAGTGCAGGCTTGCTATCCCAGCAGCTCAGGAGGCTGTGGTAGGAGGGTTACAATGAATAACTTAGTGAGACTCTGTCGCAAAATAAAAAGTAAAAAGAAATAGCTGGAGACACAGCTCAGTGGCAGAACACTTCCCTGGCACACATGAGGCCCTGGATTTGATCCTTGGGGGGAGGGGGGGCATTTTTAACTCTTAGTACCTGTGAGCTTACCCTATGGCCACTTTGCATACCACAAGGATAAAAACTATCTCTTTTTAATGTTAAAAAGAAAAAAGATTTATATGTGTCAAAACAATACTTTGATAACAATAACCACTGAAGCTGCACAGTACTTACTGTGTGACGGCCCCAAGACGAGCAGTTCCAAATAGCCTTTCATTTATACTCCCTGTTCCCTCATCACCTAGGCATTATAGCTTGTGCACTTGGCAGAGTACTAACTAGGGCTCCTAAGTATCTTAAAGTCACAACACGAAGTGGTGGAGCCAGGGTTTTAACCTAGTTTATATGGTCTTAGTGTTTACATTTACTCTTACTCTGTTACATCAATTGCTGGGTGTCCTTGCCAATCCCTTGACATATATTCTCATTCTCTCTCTCTCCCTCACCTCTGCTGAGCTGAAGTCAAGCTAAACACTTATTAGCTCATGAATTTCGTGGTCCCATTTGTGATATTTTAGACACGACTTGGAGCAACGACTTTACTGATTAGCGGTGATATTTTAAGTCAAGATGTGGTCTCCTCCTAGGCACAAAGCAGAAGGAAGGTCACCAAAACAGCTTTATCGATCAAACACGGAGGCCCATTGTGAAGCCGGGATGCGCTAAGGATTATTCTAAGCCTTCAGCTTAGGACCAAGCAAAAATTTCTCATAACTCTGGTTCAGCTGCTGAGTCCTAGAAAGAACTGAGCCTTGTCCCTGCCGATGCGGTTGAATTATCAAGAAGGGGAGATAAAAGACAAGATGCACTAGCCGTGAAATGCCCTTTTCTAATGTCCTCTTGGACTCAATTACACGTGCCAACATCTATCAGCTCCCTTCAGCAACCCTAGCCCAACTCTGCCAGCGTTCCTGGACATCCCAGTTCTGGAGGGAAATGGCACTCACTTTCTGGGTGGAAGAAGCCCAGGAGAGAGGAGATTCTAGAACTTGTAGCCTTAAGGCAAATCTCTCACTCTGTAGAAAATAAAGTGATTAGAACCTCTATCGTTGTAATCACTCCTTCTCAACACAAGGTCCGAGTGAAGGGGGATGGAGCTTTCTGGGGGAGGGCTTATTTCTTGTGAGCAGTCTCATGAGACTGGCCACTGAGGCACTGATTCATTTCTTCGATAAAAAGTTGTTCAAGTCCATTTTCCTTACCCTTTAACCTTTCCCCATTGTGTCCTTGATATATCTAAGATCATAGAATTTCCTCCCTCATCAGCCCTCATCCAGCCAGTGTTTTTCCAGTGCCTACTATGAACCCAGCCCTGTGCCAAGTTCTAGGAACACAACAATGAGCTAGGCTGATATGGTATTCTCTCATATCTAAGAATCTGGTCTAGAACATAACCAAATGGGAATTACACTCCAGGTGCCTGCCATAGCCTCCTCCTTCTTCTTATGAACAAGGCCATGCCTTCTCCCCATGACCTTGGGAGTCAAAAAACTGGCCTACAGCTTGGCTTCTGACCCAAGGTGACCAGAGGCCTGGCTGCTGTAGTGCTACATGAGGGCCATTCAAGTAGAACTTCTCTGAATGAGAGACAGTCAGCACATTGTTACGGCGTGAAAAAAGACAAGGTGTACAGAGAGAAGAAAATGGGCCGAAATGACGAGGGAGGGAAGGCTGTGAGCACAAGGAAGCCACAGTGGAGACAGGAGCAATGGCTGGGAAAACAGAAGAGAACAGACCAATACGCGAGGGCAAAATCCTAGAAACTGAGTTATAAAGGTAGTGTTTGTGTACCTACTGTGCTGATGAGTATAGGTGCAGGGATGACAGGGTGAACAAAAATGGACATTGACCAACTGCACCTCAGTTATAGCCTGAGTGTCATCTCAGATGGCTCTGAAGTGTCTGGCTGGACCGTATTTGAGATTGAGTTTGATCTTCCTTTCGTTCCTGAATATGCTTGTGTGTGTGTGTGTGTGTGTGTGTGTGTGTGTGTGATACACATGCCTCTCATGAACTAGTATAAAAACAATATAAGCCAGTCTACTTCTTATAGAGTGGCTCTTCCCGAGCCCACAGCAATGGTTCACGTCCTCACAAATTAGCTATGGGCAAAGCAAAATGATTGTGTGATGGACACAGAAGAAAGAGGATTCTTCCCTTGAGAAACCCGGACCCTAGCAGGCAGCAGCCTACCACTGCGAGCACATGTTGTATGAGGGCTATCTGCCCCGTACTGCAGGACAGTGGTGAAGAGGAAAACGGAGTCCCCCACCACCCCACAATCTCCCCTGAGCCAAAGGTTGTCCGGAGAGACCTACTCCTCTCTCATCTTTCCCCAAGGACAGCAACAAAACTTCCATTCCCAAGGCAAGGGTTCTAGGGTAGCTGAGCCTGAAATGACTATCTCCTTTTCCTCATGAGAATGACGTAAGTGCTTGTGAACTGGGAACAGCATCCATCACGTAAGGAGACATGGCATGCTTGATGATTGTTTACGTAAAGGAGGAGATCGTGAACCATTAGCATTCTGGACCTACTTATGGCATAGTTACTCAGGTGATTTAAAAAAAAAAAAAACTTTCTTCTACATTTCCAGGTCTTAGTTCCGTGCTTTTAAGAGCTGTAATCAGACTCGGCAACACAGCTTGCGGCAGTGTGATTCACCAAACGCGGTTGGTGGAAAACGACAGCTGGAGTAAAAGGGGCCACGGAACTTCGGGGGTTTGCCTTCACGCAGGTTTGGGGTATTGTTCAGGCTACACAAGTGCCCTGTGACTCACTACAAGCCAGACGCTTAGTTCACTGCTCTTCAGCTGTCGTCTTGTTTGTCCTTATTTTTGAGACAGGGTCTCACTGTGTAGCCCTGGGTGCCCTTAAACTCACAGAGATTTGCTGGCCTTTGCCTTCTAGAGTACTAGGCCCACCATGTGCCACCACACCTGGCTATCCCTTGTTTTGTTTGGTTGGTTGGACAAGGTCTTGCTTTATTGCCTAGGCTGGGCTTGAACTTACCATGCAGCCCAGGTAAGCCTCAAACGTGCAATCTTGTGCCTCTGCCTCCCAAGTGTGAGGCTGAGAGGCCCACACAACCACACCTGGCATAGAGGAGATTTTCAGTGTACTGGCTTTCGAACCTTCTGTCTACGCCAGGGGTTTCCTACCTTCCCAATGCTGTAACCCTTTAATAAGGTTTCTAAAAAGAAAAAAAAAATTTTTTTTCATGTTATAGAACCCATACAATTATTTTTGTTGCTACTATATAACTGTAATTTTGCTGTTACAAATTATAATGTAAATATATGATCTGCAAACCCCCTCCAAGGGGTTCACAACCCCACAGAGAACCACTGGTAAACTCTGAGGGGGTGGGAGTGGAGTCCTTGTATTTATCTTGAAGAGTCGCAACCTCCTCCAGCCTGCCGTATCCTTCTGTTAAAAAATTAGGTACAGGCCCCAGCTTCCCTCCAAACACATAATGACATCATTAGAAAAGCAATGACTGACACCAGCTTTGCAGCAGGCACAGAGGCCTTTGTTAATGCTAACAGAAAGTCGAAACCTTCCTGCGGGTGATCCTTTAACAGAGATTTGTAACTTTGGCGGGCTTTTCCGAGTGTTGCTGCCTGAGCTCCACCCACTGAGCTCCACCCACTGAGCCCCACCCACCTGAGCTCCACCCACCTGAGCCCCACCTGCTGGAGCAAATGAAGCCAGCGGTGGGGCGCTCTCCGCAGCTCCTGCCAATGATGGTGAACCTGAAGTTCACTCACATCTCTGTCCCTCCCTTTGGTTTAACTCACAGGCTCACTTCAGCCCCCAGCTTTCGGCGAACATTACAAACAGCCAGAGCCGAGTACGACCCTTTGCTCTTATCTGCCAAGGCTATGCACAAGAGTCTGCGTGCCTCCGTTAAAAAGCTGAGAGTTTAGCCTGGTGTGCTGGCACACGCCTGTAATCCCAGCACTTGGGAGGCCGAGACAGATGGATCTCTGTGAGTTCAAGGCCAGCCTGGTAGACAGGTGAGTCTGAGACATCGAAGGCTACACAGAGAAACTGTGTCTCTGGAAAAAAAAAAAAAAATACAGAGAATTTATTCTTGGACAGAGTTGGGTAATCAGACAGCTGAAAGCCATGTTATTACTCCTCACACACTGGCCTTTGATGAAACACTTAAGCATCATTCCGCCAATCTGCAAGGGGATTTAAAAGACCACGTGACGTGATGCCATGTCATTTCTGCTAACTGTACTTATGGGATGCTCCTAAACCCTCAGCACAACATCCACCTCTATTTTAAAAAATCCATTTGAAAAAATTTAGGTGATTTTTGTCTGAAGCAATTTTTTTTTTGTTTTTTGTTTTGTTTGTTTGTTTGTTTTACTTAATAAATCTGTCACACATTACACTTTTAAACTTGTGTTTGGCTTTATACTACGATAACTGTTGCAGACAAGCCCGGCAACAGGCCTTGAGCTGTGATTCTACCCTGGGCTTCCCCTTATTTTCTGGGGTTCACTTTGTCTTCAATCATTTTATCCTACTAGCTGTAACATAGCCTTCCCTGGGGAAAAGTGGGGCCAAGGTGCATAAGATCTGATTGTAATGTGACAGCGCAGACTTGGCTAAGCAATTTCTTTTCTTTTTGTTTTTCGAGACAAGGTTTCTCTGTGTAGCCTTGGCTATCCTGGATTCACTTCTTGGACGAGGTTGGCCTCGAACTCACAGAGATCCACCTGCCCCTACCTCCCTGCGTGAGCCGAAGCAATTTTAAACTTGTCTATGTCCTCACCTCTCATCCCCCCCCAAAACAATTGTTTGACTTTAAAAAAAAAAAATCCATTTTCAAAATATATTACTGACTGACACTTCTTTCTAACTGGTTCCTGTAGTAGACATTTTAGTGTCTTTAAAAACTCAGTTATGTTACATAAACATGGTTTGGGTTTTAATCGCAGGTGTGGGAAATGGGGCTGATTCAGATTGTCCACAGCAGCAGACTATTTGCCTCATGTGGGCTCTGAGAAGAGCTTTTTGTCATCTGCAGATAGTTTAATTCCTAGGACTCTGGAGAGGCACTAAATGCCAAGACACAGAGAGAGCTGGGTGGAGAGGGCCTCCAAGAAAGAAGAATGCTGCTTCCCCGCCTCCCTTCCTGGCCGCTGTTGATGCAGTTTGACAAGAAGAAGTTGGAGATGTCCTGAAACAAAGACTATACTTACCCCAAGGAACCCAACAACCTAAACACCAGGAAGTAGCCAAAGAGAACTATGCCCCTCTCCACACTAACCTTTCTCTCATACCTGATATTAGAACGGATTGGGGTGGAGAAGGGAGAAAAGGTGTAAGAAACCAGATAAAATAAAGCTGCTTACAGGTTCCTCAAGGCAAGGACATTACAGCAGCTCATTCAGCTTGTGTGTTCTTAAGAATTGACACTTAGACGGATGAATGTGGAAAAGGACCTCTGAAAGAACCATCATCATTTTGGAAAATGAATGAGGTATAAAAACCTAAAATTGTGACAAAAGGTTAAATAAGAACTGAAGACTAGTTGCTAAAAAATGAAAGGCTGTAGAAAACGAAAGGCTTTATTTAAAGTAAAGTGCAATCTGGCAAGAGTCGGGGGTGGGAGTGACTTAGCGTAAGCAAGATGGAGAGGGGAGCCATTAACTCAGGGTCTCACCCTGTAGGCGGAAACTGATCCTTCTTCCTTGCCATTATTCCTGGGACTCAACATCAGTGGCTTCTAGCAGCAGACAGCCAACACGGTAGCTCTAAAGCCAGACTAAGCTCATGTCAAGGTCAGTTTCCACCCTCATTTATTTTCTCTGCTTTCAGCTCACAAAACAAAATTATGATTCCATAGCCTTTTGATTAAAACAAAAACAAAAAGAAGGTTCGTTAATGGAATCATAACTTTTACTGAACCCTTAACCACAAGAAAGTAAATCTTTACTTTCTTTAATCCCAGCACTCAGAAGGCAGAGGCAGCAGATCGCCGAGTTTATGGCCAGCCTGGTCTAGGCCAGCCAAGGCTACGTGGTGAGATCTTGTCTCAAGAAATCAATTAGAGAAGAAGAAAAAGTAAAATGATGCTTCATGGGTAGGTACACCGTGTAAAAATTGCAATAGACAGGGTAGGATGAAAAGTAGCAGAGAAACTCAAGTCCTACTCCTCCATGTGTTCGCCAAATATTTTGATTGGCCAATATTTTGAAAGAGCATTTTCTAATAAGCTTTTACTTTAAAAATCCTTGACCGGTAACGGGAGCCTGTTCTTGTTGTTATTGCTGTAAAACACCTGCAGTAAAGAGCTTTGATGTGTCTCGCTTCTGATGTGCTAGTATTTAATGCTGGACGCTCCTAGCTTCCAGAGAATTCATTTTGCTTCTTAACAAAGAGGCCTGTATCGGTCAGATTTTGTTACTATAATGAAAGGCCTCAGCCAGGGTCATTTTACAGAGAGGAAGTTGGCTTAGTTCACATGTGTGGAGGTTTGGAGGCATGGGGCCAGCCCCAGTTTGGTGCTAGTGAGGACCTAAGGGCAGGTGGCATGACAACATGTATGAGGGACACACATGAGAGCTCATGGCCAGACGGGAGGCCAGCAGCTTGGAAATGGCCAGAATGAGCCTTCTATTACTGCCCTCTCAGCCCCGGGGACCCAGGAGAGCCACCTGAATCCCTTCTGAAGACAAAGGCTAAGCTTCTTTCACAAGCGCCCCATTATTAGAGGTCCCACCATGTCTCAGCAATGCCGCCAAGGCCAGGTCCCCAGCACACAAAAGAAAGCTCAGGGAAGAGACTCAAATCACAGCCAAACTGTGCAGATTCCAAAGGAAATCTGGGAAATCTGGAGCATTACATACCCCGTCTTAGAAATATATCCAGTGTTTATTATGGAGTGAAAAGTAATAATAAGCACACATTACGTTAATTACTTTGAGAAGCCGCACTTACGAACGGAAGCAAACGGCCCATGGTATTACTACTTTTCCAGGAAAGGCAGCATGACAGAAGCTAAATCTAACAGGAGAGCATTAACATAAGGAAATCCAGGCTGTGTCAGAATTGTACCATTTACCATGAGGGGCCAGCCTCTGAGCCAGTGCATGCCATGTACTCAAGAGCCTGCCCAATCGCGTGGCATAGCTCTCCGCTACAGCACAGGAGGCAGAGCGCAGCTCTCTGAGCAGCTCACGAAGCCAGTTTCTGAAAGGGAACTAGGGAGGCTTGGGGGTGAAGTCAGAATAGTAACTGGCCCAGAATTATAATTTAACACACTTTTCAATACAAAACCAGAGAACTGCTACACTAATGAGGAACTGCCCTGCACTGTGATGAGCACACGCCAAAGGGCAACTCATTTATGCCATCCTGTAGGACGGGCTGTAACTCGGGAGGGCCCTGTTGAGTATCAAAAGGTTTGCACATCAGGAGACGGGGAAGCTCAGGATGGCTGCTCTAGCCAGGTCTTTCCTGGCATTGGCATTCTCTTTTCCAAGGCTTGAAACATAGTGCCAGAGCACAGGCTGGGCCAGAGCACTGGCTACACTGCTGACTTTCAGATGGCCTGCGTATCAGCTACGTGCAGCAGGCTCCTGAGAAAGGACAACAGTGCTCCCCTACGGCGCCTCCTCCGGGTAAGCCAGTGTGCTTCTCATACGGAGGGCAAACCTTCCGGTTTTACTGTTTCACTTAGGAGAGAAATCAGCCCAGCACATTCTGCCAGCTTTAGATGGGGGATGGTTCACCTGGCCACATGACATCAAGGTGATGCCTTGAAGAATATGCAAAGGAGCCTGTGGCTATAAGACACCACAGCACAGATCACCACACTGCTCTTCGGTATGATGGCTGTTTCAGGACTGTTCTTGCATCAAGATAGTAATAGATTCATATCTTGATTTTCTTGCCTGCCACCCTTTTTCTACATTTCTCTTCGTTATCTAGAGAGGGGAAGAAAACTCCCCAGGCCAAAGGTGACCTGGGTTTTGGTGGAATGGTGTCTGCATGCTCGAGCTAATCAGATCACTTCAAATGTCTCCATTTGTCTATGAGGAATAAAAGGAAGGTCAAATTTAGAACCCAGTTTAAGAACCGCAGGTCACATTCAAAATAGAACCCTGGAAGTTTTTTCTTCTGTCCTGAGAGCAAAAGCCCCCCCCCCCAAAGTGTCAGAGCCATTTTAACTCTGACTTAATGAGTCTTTAGAAGGCTTCTGGGGAGGTGACATTTATAGGAAGAGATCAAAGACGCTAAGAACATACTGCTTGAAGCAGTGGTTCTCAGCCTTTCCTAAGGCTGCCGGGCCCTTTAACACGGATCCTCAAGATGTGGTAACCTCCAATAATAAAATTATTTTCATTGCTACTTCATAACTGTAATTTTGCTACTGTTATGAATCATAATAAATGTCTGATATTTCCAATGGTCTTAGGAGACCCCTGTGAAAGGGTCAAATGACCCCTGAAAGGGTCACGACCTACAGTTTGAGAACTCCTGGCTTGCAGGCCTCTGAATGCTTTTTACCATATATAACTGAGTTCCTTCAACTTCCTATAGTCTAAATGGGGTCTAGCTCCTCCTCTCCATAAAAAAATTAAGATAAATGTTTTATATCAATATGAGACTGGCTAGCTGCATGACCTCATGGCAAAAATAAAGACAGTTTGAATAGTACCACAACACGACAAAACACTTATCAAATACAACTCTGTGCCACGCAGGGACAGCCATTATTATTACCTTGCCTCACTGGAGGAAAGGGACTAAACTGTTGCCATCCTTTCCCAGAGCCATCTCCCCTTCTGTGTAACAGGTGACGCCTTTACTTACCCACACACAGGATATTGAAACAGAATCCTTGAGAAGTGGACTTGTTGACCAGCTGGTCAGGAAGACTGTCAAATCCAACATGGCCAGAAAGTGATAAGTTTCGAAGCTCTTCATTCTGGAATTTAAGAGAAGAAAATGCTTGAGGAACTATGAACGACATCACCAGACATCACTTCTGCGATCCTTGTGACAGAGAGAGATGCCCTGGTGTCCATGCCTTCTCTGGTGTCTTCACTAGCAACTCTGGAACCCCTTCCTTCTACAGCCTCCCTCCAAAGGCAGACTACCTCCCCAGGGCTTCAGCCCTTGCATTAAGTGTACAGTTTCAGGAAACGAGCTCAGAAGTGCCTATGTTGGATATGCATGAGGTGACCTTCCCCCAAAAAAAGAAAAAAGAAAGAAATGTAATAGCTTCTATCATTCAAGAAAAACTTTCCACTTATTTTCTACACATGCAAACAAACACTCGTCCAGACATACAACGGGGCTCTGATGGAGGTACAACTAAGAAATTTTGCTCCAACCACCACACTGAAATGCATTTATAACTTCTCAGCACACAAAGCCCGTCCATCTCCTCCATTCACTGTCCGGGCAGAGTGGCACTTCACGCAGGCTCTACACACACAGGCCCTCCTCAAGGTGGACTGGGGGAGGCGGGGGGGGCAGTGTTTGGGGGCGTATGTGCAGTCAGGCATTGGCGTTAAGGTTCATGCCTTAGACAACAGGGCTGACCATTTCCATACCTCATGGGCATTGGAGATCAACTAGTGAAGCTTTTCTCTTCCTGAGAAGCAGAACTCACCAGTGGGCAGACAATTACAGTATCCAAGTTCTGCTTCTCAGGCCTTCTGGGAAACAAGAGTAACGGTGCTCGGGCTATGTCACCAACAGATTTTATTCAAATGCTGAATTTGGGTGAAATAACAAACCTCATTGTTTGAATTACTGATTTATTCATATCCCCCCCCAGGTGTGTGTGTGTATGTGGTATTTTATGTGCATACATGTGTATGGGAATGTGTGTGGAGGCCTGGGGTCTGTTTTCATTGGCTTCCTCAATCACACTGTTTGTTTTGTAGGTTTGCTCTGTGTAGTCTTGGCTGTACTGGACTCACTTTGTAGACCAGGCTGGCCTCAAATTCACAGAGATCCGCCTGCCTCTGCCTCCCAGAATGCTGGGATTACAGACGTGCACCATTGAGCCTGGCTTCCACATTACTTTCTGAGACAGGGTCTCTCACTGAACCTCAGTTTTTATGGGGGCGCTGAGGCTCTGAACTCAGGCCCTCCTGTTTGTGCAACAGGCACGTTACCAAATAAGCTATGTCCCCACCCCCACAGTTTTGTTTTTTAAGTTAAAAAGAAAGACTTTGAACAAAAATTTAGTCAACGATTTTGAAAGACTTTTAAAATTCTCCTATTTTTGTATTGTATATTGTGGGATTATGAGTGCGACCTAATAACCAGCGCTGGCTCCATTCTCAAATTTCTATGGTTACTACGTAGAAATGTGACTCTGTAAATGGTAACGCTGATAGATTTTAGTAGTTTTTGTGAACACTAGACTGTATACCAGCTCTAAAATTCCGATTTCATGAACTAGAGCGAAAACCCAAGCCCTCGCCTGTGTGGTGGCAGCTGTGAGATTGAAGTCAATGGGACGGAGAACAGATGTCCATGCTATGAATAGTTTCCTTGAAACCTGCCAACAGTAAATACAAGACCAGAGAGTGGAGCGCTCTGCCTTGAGTGCTGCAACATGGGCCCCGGCACACCAAACAGCTTCACTCACAGACAGGCCCAGTGGGCACTGGTCCTGGAGGATGAGGGAGCCTTCCAACAGCGCTGGACTTCTGGCTCCAGCCCCTGAGCCTGCCCCTTCCTTTCCGATACCTCAGAGGTTCAAACTATAGGTATTTTTAGGGTGTTTACCACATCCGCCGAGCCGTGGGGGAGGAGCATGTAAAGCTGGCCCTGGATTATATTTAGAAATGTTTCCATAGCAGCTGCGCGGTGGCTACTGGACACTAGGCTTGGCGGAGCCATCACAGCAGCCTTCACTTCTGTCCTGTCATACATGAGAACGGTGGGTCACACAGCAGAGAGGCGGCAGGGAAAGACTCAAGCCTCTGCTCCTTCTACTACTGCCAATCACAAATTAAACTTTCAGAGGGAAGACGGGCATTGGTGCTATGGATTCTGGCCTCCTGGGTCTCCAGATACCCAATATCCGCCCGTAAACCAATCCTAGGAAAGCATCCGGTAATTATAGTTCTTATCCCAGAGCCCAAAGCCCAGCGTCTCATATTCTCACGGTTATTCAAAACACGAGAAGCCACCCACACGCCCACCGGGTAGTTTTTTATACCCATTGAAGACCGCACACAAACTGTCGAGTTACAAAACATTTGGGTCTTGAAATTTGGGGAGTTTAAAGCTGCATTCCTTTGTCCTTAGATTGTCTTATGAAATACATGAGATTTTAAATACACCTTTAAATCTTATCATTGAAGCCAGATCCTTCCCAGTGTGAAAGAGCAGCCGCTGCTACCCATGTGCGGTGGGGAGAGGGGAAACGGGAAGTCCTTCACCCAGCTTAAGAACTGGAGGTGTTGGAGGGACAAAGTCACCTGGTAATTCCTACTGAAATGAGGTCCTTCTCCCTGCACTCCATGGCACCCACCTTAGAGTTCACTCTCCAAGAAACGTCCAGTCTAGAGGGCCACGTTTCAAAGCACTGCATGTCTTCCCACACCATCACACATCTGGAAATGACTCCCAAATTCCACCCACACTACTCAGTTGTTAGCCTGACTCCCGGTAGTTCTCTTGGGCTTTCCTCTCTGTACTGAAAGCTGATACAGCACTGGAATCCTATCCTCCCATCCCTAACTCCAGCTGCCCCAGAGCTTCCTGCTTCTCTTCTTGGGATTTACCTGCCACTGAGAACTCCACTCAATTCTCAAGTCTTATCATTGCTACCACTTCCTCTCTCACAGCTTCCCCTGGCTTCTGTGGCTTGGTTCCACTCCCCTCTACCCCTTCCTCTCTACCTTGGTTTTAAAGGGGTCTTGATATCCATCGATTCACTCCAAACTCCCTGCCATCTCAAGGCTGTCCAAATCTCCAATCTTACTGGACCTCCTACTTCTCACCCAGAAGTACTTAACACCACGATGAGTCACCTTCTAAGCCCAAGACAAATCCAGGTGTCTTCCCACTAGACAAGAGAGATCCACATTTCCTCTAATCTTGTATCCAATGGCTGCACCTTACAGACTCCACTGGAACATTTCTACCAAATTTACCTTTATTATGAAATCTTGGGGAATGCTGAATAAACATTTCCCTTTCCAGTGAAAACAAACCTCTTATATTCTCTGATCATAGTAACTATTATGTTTTAGCAGCTAATGTTCCGGAAGTGCCTTAAACAGAAACAAACTGATGCTGTTTTCCTAACAATTGCATGAAGTAGCTATGATCACCCAAGTTCAACTTGTAAGTGAGGAAACGGAGGCACAGCAGTTGTTTACCCAAGGCTGCACAAGCTGAGAGGTAGAGAGTTGAATTACAAGGAGTCAGCATCTAGAGCCAGAGGCCTTGCACTTAACCTTCGCCCGCGCAGGCAGGGTGATCTGTGATGCTGCCAGGTAGCCTCGACTAGAATGTTATGCTTTCAGCTATTATAGATATCCAATATGTTAAGAGAAGAAAAAAAAAAATCTCTAAAACCTTAGTACTTTGGCAGTCATAAAGGGTGGAAATTGAGAATCAGAAGAGGCAATCCATTCCCTGTATATTTTCACCAACCTGGCAATGCCAACACATTTTGGTTTCTACAGCCATGGCACATGAAGCCTGTAATAGAAGGCTTAGTTTTAACCATTTCTGAAACAAAAGTAGCAATGTGAAGCCACTAAGTAAATAAGTAGAAGACCTTAAATGATGTAACACTCCCCTTGCTAATCTATTTGCTGAAAATTTCATATTAAATGAATTCCACAGCCCACTTCATCTTGAGTGGACCTGCGCCCGAACTTGACTGTACAAAAAGCCAGTTTTAAATTTGACTATTTCATTTTTCTCTTTTCAGAATATGTCTTCTTGCATGTAATTACTTAGTCCCCCGCCAAAATGCTACCAAAATCACTAAAGTAGAAGTGTGTTATTTTGCTGTTCATTGATAAACATTGTTCCCAGCCCTAAGAAGTTTTACAATGTTGCAACAAAAACAGGTCATACTAAATAGAATTATATTGAGGATAAAACTGATAAATACCATCTTAACAGAGGGACAAGGGGAAGTAGCTTTTGGCTATAGAAATTTGGGGCACCTATTGGAGCTCCCCTGAATACATTAGTGAGACTGGGGGCATCTTGCAGGGGGCATTTCTAGGTGACAGCTACCAGTGTCAAAGATGTCTCTTGGCAATGAACGTACACCCTAAAGTTTCTAGTCTGAAAGTTTTTAAAAGATGCTCAGCTGACTGAGACAATTACAAGCCAGCTTATATAAGGATGTGTGTTGGGTTGGAGGGATGGCTCAGTGGTTAAGAGCACTGTCTGCTCTTCCAGAGTTCAATTCCCAGCAACAACATGGTGGCTCACAACCATCTTCTGGTGTGCAGGTGCACATGCAGATAGAGCATTCATATACATAAGAATAAATAAATAAACAAAAGAATGTGTGTCAACAGCCTGTTCTGAATGCCTCTCTATTCCACAGGTCCATGTTGTACTTAAACAGAGCAGGATGACCAACGCCCAGAGTGGGCAGACGTGGGTTTGAATCTCACCTCTGTTTCCTACTTGCTTTCAGTCTTTGTTCTGTCAGCAATAAAAATGCAGCACTTGGCAGGGTTGCATTTAATGGTCCTTATGAGTTTCCTTTCCCCAAGTGAGGCGAAAGGGAGGAAAGACAACTCCAATTCTACAATCTGAAATGAATTAGTTCCGTGACTGCTGCTAGACGTTGCAGGAAAAACTGATCCACCAAGCTCTTAAGTTAAAAAATAAATTAAAACCACCCTGAGAAGGGCAGAGAGTGAACAAAACGAAAGTAGAAGAGAGGCTGAGGACTCTGGCCTGGAGGGCTACCCACCGTCAGAG